ACTAAACTTATAAATAACTAAACCAAGCCGGGCAACCCAACTAAACGGCCAAATAATAATGAATGACGCTAAAATGATAATTGTGGCTTAAAGCCATGAAAGAAAACCAAGAAACAAAAAAAAATGAAAAAAAAAAAAAAACAAACAAAACCAATTAAAGACAGCCAGTTGGTCAGGCAAACAAACCAACTAACAAACGGAAAAACTAGACATGGGAAGTTATCTTAAGTAACACATATTGTCACTTGAATGAACGTTTTTAAGAGATTTCAAAGTTAAGAGAGTATTTTTTTATTTTCTCTTAATCGAATAATCGAATAATGAGAGCATAGATGAAATGAGTCGGAAATTTTTATTTTTTTTTTGGATCGTTCAACAGGTGAAATAGTAAATAATATCATTAAAAAAAAAATTCAAATTAACATAAAACGTAACCGGCTTAGCGCGTGCACTAACGACCATATTAACGATGCCGTTACGACGAGGCACAGTGGTTAGTGGCAGCAAGCGGTAAAATGTGACAATTAATTACACTATTACAACACACCATAAAGTAGATAGATAAGCGTTAGTGAATTGTTATGCGTTTTTGCGTTAATTTTTTTTTATGTCAGTAATTTAAGTTGTGTAAACAAATATAAAAAAAAAACATTTAAAAGAAGTACACTTGTACCGAACATTTTCTTTAGGACAATGAGCAAACCAAAAACATTGTGTGACTGATTGTATCATCAACGCCCAGACTAAGATACAACAATTTTGCAAATTTGGGGTACTTCTTCTGTGAAGGTTCGGCATAAGGGATTTCTAAAATTCGTACTTAAAAGTTCAAAATTGTGTGTTTTGAGCAAAACGCTGTTTATTAAGACATATTCTTAAAATTTCGAATGTAGGTCGCAGTTTTTGTAAGATAGAGCTTTTAGAAATAATATAGAACTTGAATTCTGAAAGAAGAAAGAAATTTGATCTCGAAGTTTTGCAAGAGAGTCAGTCTTGGTGCATAGGCGTGTGATAGGGTTGGTTTTTTGGAAATACATACTAAAAGGTTACCAAATACTAAAATGTACTAAAAATGCAATACTTTGTATTAGACAAACGGAATGAGTTAGAATTCTGAAATCTTTGGAAAGGTTACGAAAAGTTCTAAAATGGTACTAAACTTCTATAATGCTACCATTTGGTATTATGTGAACGGATACAGTTAAAAACTTGAAATTTGGTATGAGAATCAAGGATTGAAAGTAAAGTGTACGAACGTGGTTTTGGAAGTGTGTGATAAGTTTCCGAACTGTACTAAATTGTACTAAATTTGGAACAGTTTGGTTTTGGGGTGATCGGATGAAGCTGGAATTTTCATATTATGTATTGGGATTCCTGTAAGTGGTAGGTTTGCGATAAGGAGGTGGTTTTGGAAATGTGTACAACTGGTATTGGGTGAAGAGTTGCATGGACGGTACGAAGAGTATAATTCTAAAATTTGATATTTAGATTACTGAAAGGATATACATTTGAGATTTGGCGGTAGTTTGGAAATGCCTCCTATATTTGTACGAAAAGTACTTAAATTAGTATTGGGTGAAGGGATCAAGGGATCCTCAAATTTTAAATTTAGATAACTGTTAGTATCTTAGGTTGAGATTCGGAGTTGAGAATGCGTACTATAGTTTTTAGAAAGGTACTAAATTTGGTATTGTGTGAATTAATAGGGTTGATATCCTAAAATTTGATATTTATGTCACTTTCGGTGTCTAGAATTGAGATATGAAGGTGGTTGTGGATATGCGCGCTATAATTGCTCGAAAAGTGGTACTAAATTGGTGAAGGGATAGAGCTGGAATCTTGAAATTTGATATTGAGGTATCTGTTAGAATCTAAGTTTGAGATATGGAGGAAGTTTTGGAAATGCGTCCAATATTTGTAAAAAAAGGTCTAAATGGTACTTCATTTTGGATTGGGTGAAGGGATAGAGATGATACCTAGATTACTCATGGTAAGTTTTTGAGATTTGGCGTTCCTATACTTGAACGAAAAGTAATAAAGTACCTATCGGTAAAGAGATAAGCCGGAAACGCTCAAACTTAATATGGATGTTACTGTGTGTAACTGAAATTTAGTAATGGAGGTGGTTTTGAGAATGTGTACTAAAATTATAAGAAAAATACTAAATGGTACTAAATAGAGACAGAATAGAGCTGAAATCCTGAAATTAGATAGGGATGTCACTTTGGTTTTGTTGGTTTCTATGTTTGAAAGAAGGAGCTGGTTACGAAACTGTTGCTGTCTAGGATTGAGATATGAAGGTGGTTTTGGAAATGTGTACTATAATAGTAATTTTTGTATTGGGTGAAGGAATAGAGTTAAAATCCTGAAATTTGTTATGGATGTCACTGTTGGTGCCTGCGGTCGAGAAAAGATGTAGGTTTGGATATGCCTAATATAATTGTACTAAACTTAGTAATTGGAAAATTAAAGAATTTGATTTTAAGGTCACTGTTGGTATCTGAGGTTGAGATTATTTTGACAATGTGTAGTATAGTTGTTCGAAAAGTACTAAGTGCTACTAAATTTGGTATTGGAAAAAGGAAGGAATCCTGAAAATTGATATTGATGTAAATGTTGTTGAATGTGGTTGAGAGAAGGAACTGGTGTTGGTGTTTTTGAAGAAAAATTTTCAAAGATTTCCGGCAATGAAATCAATGAAAAAATATTCATGCTTGTGGCTGAAGAACGAATCCAACATTTTCTGATATTTAAGTTTACCGAAAGCCATAATAAGCACTCCACATTCGGTAACAGATCTAGGCCTAGAACTTAGATGAACAAAACAGTACGTTTGCGGTGATCTCAGTCGTTGATTAGACTTCAACGAATGTAGACATGCGTGGGGGATGCACGCATTGTTGCTCCGTTAATATTAAGAAAACAATTTATAGATAGCTTTTGTAGAAAAATATAAATATATATGGGGTTTATATTTAATGTTTTTTGATAATTTTGCTAACATAAAATTAAAATTTTTGCTACAAAACGTCCAAAACAAGAAGGGAGATATTTTTACGTGCTTTTTGGTTTCTCTCACACACACAAGCGCAATGTTCATTTTGTGCATCATAGGCCTAGAAATACATCTCCAAGAGGGGTGTTGTCGTGTATAAAATAGAGCTCATTTTCCCTCGGGAGCGAAATTTGCTCGCGAGCAGGATTGCTCAAAGAGAACAAAGACAACGGACTATACTTTTCACTTTTTTGTTTTGTGTGGTAGCACTCCTGAGTCACCCCTGTTTGAAAAATTTAAGTGGGGGAGAACCACTCAAAATAGATCAAGAGTTTCAAATGAATTTTGCTCCCACTCAAAAACGAGTCAAACATACTAACTCCTTTTAATGTAACATCGAAAAAATCGAAATCCGCTTCCGCTCGAATTCGAGTAAGTTTCACTCTTTGTAAAACTTCGAGCAATTTTTTCCAAGGTCTCCTTTTTATTTTACCTCAGAAAATTTGAGTGGATGGTTATTGAATGTTTCCACGATATCTATATTTCTTAGCACAATAACGATATGACAAAAACTAAAAAGAATGCTCGGCGAGAGTAGAATCGGCTCGATTTCGAACGAATTTTACTTCCTCTCAACATCGAGGAAAAAAGTGAGCATATTTTCGAGCGGATCAAAAAAAAAGAGGATTTGCTAAATTTTTTTCTTCTGCTCCCAGGAGCTCTCCCGCTCAAATTCGAGTGATTTTTACTCTTTGCAAAAATTTGAGCGAGTTTTTCGAAGGTCTGCTTGTGGAATACAGTTTGATATTTATTTTACCGCTGAAAATTTAAGGTTGGATGACTTGTGAATGTTTCTAGGTCATCTGAATTTCGAATCTGAAAAAATAGTTTCAAAAAATTTCCATTGCGATTTTATCACCTCGAGTACTGAAATTTCCCTACAATCCAAATTTCAAGTATAGAAATCAAATTATATATCAATTTTTAATATTTTTTACAACTTCTCAAAGTAGCTTTCGTTTTCCATACTCAAAACCAAAAAAATAATCTCATTTTGATTGAAATCCGCTTATCCCTCTTGGCTTTGATGTGTACTTTCTCACATTGGTCGGCAAAAAAAAAAGTTGGCAGAAATTGTTGCTAAAAATAGATTATGGGAATTATGGGGTATTACCACCAATACCGCCATCGCCGCCACCATCATGCCATTGCCAATGGGAAGTCGAAAAATCAATTAAAATCCACTGTGTGTCGCCCAAGAGTGCCACAAGAGTGACTCTTAAGAGTAGCACTTAGAAGAAGAGTGGAGAGTTTAAGAAGAAATTTAGAAGAAGAAATAAAAGATTAATCATTGTTGTTTTTGTTGTTGTTGTCGGAACATAGCACATGTATGTATCGGGCGGACGGAACGAATGTAAAAAAAATATGTATGAATATATTCACACACAGATGGGCCCATGAGCGCATGCGCACGCGTACCAAAAGCTCTTATTTACATACAGCAACAACAACAATGGCAACTACCGCTGCTTTTCTTCTGCTTTGGCTGGCCAGTGATGTTGTTGCTGTTATTTGTGAATGAGCCATCGACAGACCCCAAGATATTGCCGTTTTATGCTGTTATGGTTGTTTTTTGTATGAGTTGTTATTGAATGCGGCCAAAAAAAAAAAAGAAGTAGAAAAACAAAAACAACAGAGCCATGTGTATATGAGCCATGCTTTGTTTTTGTTTTTATATTTCTGTTGTACGCTGTGCCGTATGACTGTTGTCGTTTTGTGTGGCCAGCCAGCCATCCAGCTAGCTGGCTGCGCTATGGATAAACATATGGCCAGACGGACGTTCGGGACGGACTATGCGATTCCTACTCACACACAAATGCGAAGAGAGTAACAAAAACGCCAAGAAACACAAAATACAACCGAAACACAAACCGAAAGAAAAAAAATAGTCAAATGGGATTTACTTTCCCAGCTGAAGTATAAAAGCACACACCGAGCTATGGGACATGTCTCATTAGTGTTTAGTAACAGATCTCGCAAAGATGTTTGCCAGAAGGAGATCTTCGCCGTTGTCATCGTCGTCGCCGACAAAACTCGCGTTAATATCGGGTCTATTCCTGTGCCTAGTGGCACTACAAGTCGATCGGACAGGGTCCATGTCATTGGATCGCCTGGCCATAGATCGTAGCAATGAATTACAACAACAAAACGACAAACAATTGGAGTACAGTGAAGAGTTGGCCCTTGAGTCGGAAAATAAGTCAGAACAACAACAACAACAACAACAAGAACAAAGTGTCAGTGAATTGAGTGATGATGAAAATAGTGGTGATATTACATTGGTGCCCGTGGAAGAGGGACAAAGTGATGTGTATCTCTTGGTGCCAGCCAACAAGGAGGAAAATTCTCTCCAAAATTTAATCGATTTCGATAACAATGAAGAGGTCGGTAATTTGGAGAATTCCTCGGATATGTTAATGTTGGAAAGTGTTGATTCGCCCGTTGTTCAAATGTTGGAATTGCCCCAGGACGCTGGGGAGGAAGAGAAAAATGAAGAAACACAAAACGATGACAATGAAGTGAAAAGTGAACAAGAAACACTGGGAGAAACTACCAGCCAGCAGGATGCTGCTGCTGCTGCGGAACCCGAGGCAATTTTCGAAGCCATGAAACAAATTGAAAAACAATTCGAAGACGAAGAACAGCATGGACATGATTCGGAAGAGCCCAAAAAGGAGGAATTCGAAAATTTGCCCACTCTTATGGCTGCCAGCCAGGAAGCTGAAGAGGAGGACGATGAAGAGGTTGCCGTACCCCAAGAATCGGATAACCAAGAAATGATTGGTGTCGTCATGGAACAGCAGCAGGCTGATGAACATGAAAATGTTGTCGAGGATGCCTTGGAAACTTTGGAAAAGGAGGAGACCGCAAAACCAGTTGAGGAAGTGAACGCCGAAACTCATGAGGAATCTCAGGCCAATGAGGAAGTGAAGGACGCTGAAAAAACCTCTCATGATGATGAGGAAGAAATTAAGACCAACGAAGAATCAGAAACTCCAATGGCTGAGGAAGTTGAGAAAGCTGAAGAAGAGCCAATGAAGGTTGCCGAAAATCAGGAAACTGAAAATTCCACAGTGGAAAAATCTGAAGAACCCATGACCGCTGAAGTAGAATCCTCGGGAATTCAAATGGTTGAAGAACCTGTCGTCATTGAAACCCTTGTCGAAAATGTGGCATCTCCAGCCGCTGAAGAAGCTGCCCAAGAAGAAGAGCTCAAGACGGAAACTGCTGAAGAGGAGAAGAAAGAGGAGGAGCAGGAAGAAGCTAAGCCAGAAGTAAGCATTATGAATGATGAAACTTTGGATGTAATCGAGAAGCTCGAGGGTGAAGCTTCAGCTGAAGAAACTTCATCGGCTGATGTGACCCACGAAGAAACTCCCAATGAAGACATTACCCAGGACAAGGCTGAAGAAAGTCAAGTCCAAAATGATGCCGAAGAAGAAGCTATGCCAACAGAAGAAGAAAAGCCTGTACAATCTGTTGCTGAGGTCAGTTCTGCTGAAGAAACTCAAGCTGCCCCAGAAATGCCAGTTTCAGAGGAATCACAGCAAAAACCCGATTCCATTGAGGACGAATCAAATTCGGAACAGAAAGTGGAAGAAGAACCAATGCCAGCAGCAGCTGAAGAGGCTCAAGCTCCTTTGGAAGATGAAAAGCAAGTCGAAGAAACCCAAGAACAAGAATCCGAAACAGAGACAGCTGAAGAAGTTCCAGTTGCTGAAGAAATTCCAGATGCCGAGGAATCTCAAAACGCTGAAGAAGAAACGCCAGCAGAATCTCAATCTTCTGAAAATGATCAACAAGCAGAAGCCACCGAAGAAGAAAAAACTTCTGCCGAAGAAGAGCAAACAGAGGCTGCCGAAAGCCATGTTGATGAAGTAAGCCAATCCCTGGAAGAAGCTAAACCTGTTGAACAGGAAATGAGTGAAGACAGCTCAGTGGTAGCTAATGAAGAAGAACAACCAAAGGAAGAAATGATTGAAGAATCCAAACCTGTGGACGAATCCCAAACTAACGAAGATGCCCAGTCTGATGACGAAATCCAGCCTGAAATTCAAGCTGATGAATTGCCAGTCGTTGAGGAAGCCATGCCAGCCGAGGAGAGTCAAAGTGGGGAAAAATTGGAACCTGCCATGGAAGCTCATACCGTTGAGGAAGAGCAAGTCGCTTCTGAGGTAGCTCAAGAATCTGTAGAAGTAGCCAAACCCGTGGAAGAAGAACAGGACAAATTGGAAGAAGTCAAACCTGTCGAAGAAGCTCAGGAAGAGAGTCAAACCATGGACGGTGAACAACCTGCCGAGGAATTGGCATCCGCCGAGGAAGCCAAGCCCGTCGAAGAAACTGAGACTATGGAAGCTGATAAACCCGCTGAAGAAACGGAAACCATGGATGAACCTAACCCCGTTGAGGAAACCCAAAAAACTGAAGTCATGGAAGAAGTTAAGCCTGTTGAAGAAGCTGATGCTCTGAAGGAAGCTAAACCTGCTGAAGAATCTGCTGCCGTTGAGGAAGCTATGACTGCTGAAGAAACAAAACCTGTTGAGGAAATTGAGGAGGCTAAACCTGTGGAGGTATCTGAAACTATGGCCGATGAAATGCCTGCTGAAGAGTCTTTAACTGATTCTGCCGCCATGGAAGAACCCAAACCCGTTGAAGAAACCCAGTCCATGGAAGCTGTTGATTCTGCTCCCGAAGAAGTTCAACAAATGGATGAAATTGTCGCTGCCGAAGAAACCCAACAAATTGAAGAAAACAAACCCGCTGAAGAAGTCCAAGGTGTGAAGGAAGAAAGCGCATCAGTTGAGGAAGCTAAAGTCGAGGAGGAAGTTAAGCCCGTTGAGGAAGTTCCAGCCATAGAAGAATCGAAACCCATTGAAGAAGCTCAGGAAATGGAAGAAGTCAAACCCGCAGAAGAAATGCAAACGCTTGAAGAAGTTAAGCCCGTAGAAGAAACCATGGAAGAGGTCCAAGCTCAAGAAGAAGCCAAACCTGTTGTCGCCATGGAAGAAGTAATAGAAAATGAAGAGAAAGAACAACAATCTCAAACCATTATGGCCGATGAAACTCAAAACGATGAAGTTATCCCAGCTGAAGTACCCGCTGAAACTGAGATCATTGCCGAAACCCAAACGCCATCTGTTGAAGATGTCAAACCTGAATTGATCAGTGCAATCTTCCCCCTGTCCGATGAAATGCAAGTCATGGTTGAGGACCAAGCCGTCGAAGCAGAAAAACCTGCCGAAGAAGAAAATACTCACAAAGAAGCTGAGACAAATGTCCTAGCCAATGAAGAATCTCTACAAACTGAAGTGCCAAAGGAAGAATCTACCCAGGAAGTCAGTGAAAATAAGGACGATACCGTACTCAACGATGACACTGATAATGCCATTAATGTTGAACAGCCACAACAACAACCCACACAACAAACCTCCATTTTGACCACCATTGTCCAGGTGCCAGTTGTTGCCAAGCCTGAAGAAGTCATTCCAGATCAAGCCATTGTTACTACCGAGAAACCCCTCAACGTTGTCGACAGTGTTCTTAACTATGTCAACGCTTCGTTTATGAATCAAATGAGCTATGAGGAGAGCAACCTGCCTGTCCAGAAACAAGAAGATGCACCCTTCAACTCGAAATTGAGACGTTATGATGGCGCCCAAGTATGGCGTATTGTTGTGCAAAACGATCGCGAAAGAAAGTTGGCCGATGAATTGCAATCGAAATTTGGTAAGTTTTTTTTTTTATAGAAAATGAAAAAATGTATTGTTGCTGTTGATGTTCGAAATGGAATAGGGTGTGGCCACGCGTAGTGGTGATAGTCGCACTAAATCCAAAAGACAACAAATGAAAAGAAAAGCGAAACAGCCTCTGCATGTTTTGTGGAACAAAAGCGCCAGAAGAAGAAGTGTGCCAAATGATGTTTTGCATTTAAAACCGTAAAAGGCCACAATTCAAGTGGAGATGCTTTGGAATGCAGCTTAACGTATGAATAGCGCTTCCCCATGCGCCAAGAAAATTATGTTATTGCCTCAGTAGTGAAAGGAAGACACATGGTGGTGGCCTAGTTGGGGAAAGAAATTGCCACCGAATTGAGTGTTATTGTTGATATGCATATATTGTATTATTTTTTTTTTTTTCATAAAAGAGCAGGTGATAGTGAATTCTGATGACAATCTGAATTTTGATCACATTTGGATAAAGTGACCTCTGGGCCCTAACTCTAATGTGCTCTGTTATCAAATTTCAGCCTTTAGTTTTTTCATTGTCCTAAATGCGACAAGGATCGACCAGACGTTTCACCTAGGTGGTACCCAAGATTTTGGCGCACGTATGTAATCCATTCTCTTCTTGGTAAATTTTGGTCTAAATCCGGGATTGACTACCAATACACGACACGACCTAAATGCGCAACGATTTTAGGAAAATTGTATAGATGTATTTTTAGGCTGATATTTTTTGTTTTGAGTCATCTCCGGGTCTAGAATGCTGTAAAAAAATTGAGCGGAGCCGAAGCCCTGCTCTCGTTGAACATCTTTAGTCAAATCTTGCATAAATATGAACATATTAGCATCTTAAAAGAAAAAACGCCACCCTAAAATTCTAGACTAGTTGCAACTTAAGCCTTTAGGTCTTCTTAGTGCTCAAAATGTACAATTTGTTCAGTTTGACTTTTTTTGTTTGATCAAAACACTATAAAACGTACTAAATGTCAAGGTTTTATGTATCAATCCTCCTTCTCGGAAATTTAGTTGCATTAGATGAGCATATCAAAAACAATCTATATTTTTCCATCCTAGACATCAATACGGATCCAAAAATTAGTACAAATTATTGCTTCTCCTACAATTATGGTACGCATTTGCAAAACCAGCTCCAGATACGAACAGAGACCTCAATATAAAATTTCGGGAATCCAGTTCTATGAATTCACTCAATACCAAATTTAGTAAAATTTAGTACTTTTCGAACAATCTCAATCCACAGAGACCTCAATGACAAATTTCGGGATTTATACACTTTAATAACCCCCTACAACATTTAGTACCACTTGGTAGAATTATAGTACACATTTAAAAAACCACATCCATATCTTAATTACATTTACCAACAGTGACCTCAACATCAAATTTCTGGATTCCAGCCTATCCCACCATCTAATGCCAGATTTAGTACCGTTTAGTACTTTTCGTGCGCATTTCCAAATCACAACCAAATCTGAAACATAGATACCATCAGTAATCTAAATATCAAATTTCAAAAATTTATCTTTATCCCTTCTCCCAATATTAAATACAGTAACATTCAGTTCTTTTCGTACAATTATAGTACCCATCCAAAACCACCAATATCTTAACCACAGACATCAATATGAAATTTCGGAATTTCTTCTCTATTTCTCACCCAATAACAAATTTAGTACTATTTTGTACTTTTCATACAATTATAGTACATACCTTCATATCTCAATTGCAGTTACCAATAGAGACCTCAATAACAAATTTGGGGATTCCAGCCCTATCGCTTCACCCAGTACGAAATTTAGTACCATTTAGTACTTTTCATACAAATGCAGAACTAAATCTCAACCTCAGATACTAACAGTATATCTATATATAAAATTTCAGAATGTTATTTCTATCGCTTCACCAAATATAGTACTATTTAGTACTTTTCGTGCACTTATAGTACACATTTATAAAACCACTTCCATATGACTAAGCTACACATGAACAGTAACCCTAATATCAAATTTCAGAACTAGCTGTTCACCCAATAACAATTTGTGATACGCATTTCCAAAACCACTTCTTATTCAGAATTAACGTTTTTAGAAATTTTAGGATTTTATATAATTGGGACATCCTTAAAAAATTATGCTCTCTATTCCTTATTTTTGGTCTGCAGGGTTCTGAAAAAAATTTCTTGGTTTTGAAAACAATATTTCTTGTCGGGAGGGTTTTGAAATATTTTTCATTAAAAAACTCTTCTCGTCTATATAAAATATTTTCTTTATTGTGCTAGATTTGAACTTTTACATGTCTAGATCTTCTCTAAAGGGATTGCGTTAAAACCGGAGTGCCTTCAAAGAGACATTGTGGGTTTAAGGCCGCTATTTCGATGTGGCACATTTTTGACCATATCAATTAAGGGGAAAAAAGTTAGGAGTCGAGGTTGAGTTATTATCCTCGATTTAGACACCAACTCCAACAAACGTGCTTGAGGTTAGGATTTTGTACAAAAAACACACACAGGAGTGCTCTTTCCCCACATACTCATGCGTGCACACTTTTCTTCTATCCTTGGTCTAAATCAGCATGACACAATGAATCAGAATTCGGCTCTACCCCAAAAACAATTTACGAATTTTTAAAGTGGTTGGTATATGAAGATGTCAATTTCCAATTGACCGTAAATTCCAATTTTATGATCCCGTTCTTTACTTTTTTGGAACTTTTAATTTTTCCACTCCAGAGATCGAATAATACGTCCCATTATATCCCATCAAAATTGAATAGGGCTCCACTAAAAAAATACAGAGAAAAAACATTGGAATCCCTTAAAAATCCAAAACCGATGCTTTTATCAAAGAAATTGCCGCCAAAGAAAATGTTAAACTTTTTTCGTTTAATTTGCCATTATTGTTTAACCTCTCACACAAGTCTATCGCATTTTTGTGTTAATTATAAAACGAAAAAATTAATTTGCCATGGATTTTCATTTCATAGTTTCGTTGTGTCAAAGAAATTTAACTTTTGAACTGGCATTGCACATGTGTGCTGCGAAATGAGATGCCAACGACTACCATGTCGGTGCGTCTGTCTCATTTTCACTATTCCTTTTTTGCAGAGTGTCTGTCTGTGTCTGACAGAAAAACAGAAAACAAAGCTGCAGAAAACTACAAAACACAAGTGACAATTGTTCATAACAATGATTATTGTTTAACTTTAGCGAATGCAATGGATGCTTTGCATTACAAATAGAGGCAACTAGGTTGCCAGAAAATTTCTGTTGTCAGCCATGGCAAGAGTATGTTCAAGCTGGAATGTAAGAAGGGCAAAGAGGGAGGGGAAACACAATAGTTAGCAAATAAAGAGCAAAAGAATTTGGTGGAAATATGTGAGATACAAATGTGTGTGTATGTGATACATTTTCACTTTCATCTTTGTATTAAAAGAAAATGTTGCAATTAACTCTCGGAAGCAGGTGAGGATTTATATGCCACTGTCCTTCGATACGGCCAAAACGTCTATATGAAATATGTTCTTCATTGTTCTAAATTTAAACTTTTATATGTTTAGATCGACTCTAAAGGAATTGCGTTAAAACCGGATTGCCTTCAAAGAGACATTGAGTTTAAGGCCGCTATTTAGATGTGCCACATTTTTGACCGTATCAATTGAGGGAATAACAGTTCTTTTACTAAGAGGTGTCAAAGTCGAGTTATAATTCTCGATTCAGACTCCAACTCCAACAAACATGCTTGAGGTTACGATTTCATACAACATTTAACAGAACATGTTAAATTTTTGAGGAATTTTATGCCCTACAGAGGTATATGTCTTTTGATACGGCCAAAACGTATTTTATCGAAATAATGATTTTAGACCCTAGGATTCTCTGGACCAAATCTTTTTCAGGACATTTTGATGTAGGGTTGTCTATCTGTCTGGCTGGTGCGCACGATAACTCTTGAAGGGACGATAACTTTTGGACGAAATTTGGTACATCGTACATATAATTATCAAACTTAGGCCGAGTTCGGAGCTGGGCATTATCGATTTTTTGAACAAAAAACCCTCATAAAATCGGAAATAAGCATCTGATTCTGTTAAATTTTCATACATCCCAATATTTCCACTAATACAATTTCTGGTATGAAGATCGGATATATATGTCGAACCACCCCTTCTGGTATCTTCCTCACAACGGGTTAACATTTTTAATAATTATATGTCTCATAAAATGTGAAATTAGCATCTAATTATTTTCAACTTTCAAAAATCGGAATATTTTTACCATCACAAGATCTGGTGTGAATATAGGATATATTGGTCCAACTCTTCTGATACTTCCCCCACAAAGTGGTCAACATTTTGAGTAAAAAAACGGTCATAAAATGTGAAATAAGCAACAGATTCTCTTCAATTTTCACTCATCCCAATACTTACGCAAAGACTGGTGTAAATATGATAGATATCGGACCACACCTACCTCACAACGAGTCAAAATTTTGAATAACAAAACGTTTATAAAATACGAAATAAGCTTCCGATTCTCTTATATACCTCGAAACTCGCGATTTTTTTAAACATGGTATAATCAAATATTTCTCTCAACCAGAGATCTGATGGGAATATGAAGTTTATGGGTCCAATCCTTCTGGTACCTCCACCACAGAAGGTAAAAATTTCGAGTAAAAATTATTCGCATAAAATTGAAAAGACATTTTCGATTTACTTTAAATTTTGCACATACTTCGGTATACTTCGGTCCACTATACCTGGTCCCTCACGCACAGTTCAAAATTTTCCAAAAATCATCGCCTATGCCACATTAAAGAAGTAGTCGATATAGTCCAAGTCTCTTAGAGGTAGGAATTATTCTATAGGCAAAACAACTTCTATAAGTCTTCTCCTACCAGAAGACTTCGTTGGGATCTTCTAAGGATAGAATACCTCTTATAGATCTTAATTTTGGTTCATATTTTTTATGGATAGTAGACCTTTAAAAGAAAAAATTGGGCGAATTACTCCCCATAGGCCTTATTTTGAAAGAAGTCCTTCAAAGAGGTCTCTTTTCATATAAGGTCTTTTTGTAGGTCTTTCATTTACAGAAAACTACTCAGGACTCAGCTTTACTGTCGCTACGGAATTACAATCCTACCAGACTAACAAAAATAAATTTAAAATCTTAAAAGTTAAAAAAATTATTTTTTTTCAAAATAGAAAAATTGAAAATCAATATCTAAAAATTACTATTTTTTCGAACATTTTCACCTGATTAGTTTTCAAGATTTGATTGCCGATTCTCTTCAATGTTTTCAAATCATTCATTCCCATTCATTCCCAAAAATGAAAATCAATTGATAATCAATATTCAAAAATTAATTTAAGAAATGTTTTCATCTGATTACTTTGATATCTTAGTTTTAAAAATTTTATTACCAATTCTCTTCAATTTTTTCAAAACAGTGATGTCCAAAAATGCAATTTTTTGGCGAGAAATCTCAGATTCTGAATCATACTGGGCCGTGTTATTGAATTGATGCTGTTCTGCTAATTGGTTATATTTACCCCTTTTCTCAAAAAGACTTCATTCCGAAGTTCTACCATTTTCCTCCCATTTTCCCCACCAAAATATGACAAGAGGAGAATTTAAAAAAAAAACCTTTCAGTTGCCAAAAAATATTTTGCTTTTGTTTTCGTAAATATAATTTCACTTTGTATTTTATTCTTCTCTGTGTGTACACGATTACAAATTGCCCTGACCACCACTGCGGCTGCATCTGAAAAATTAAGGTCATGTAACCAACGCTGCTTTAAATGTCGTTGCTGCATTTGTATGCCTCTCATTTGGCATTTAACTTTTTTTAGTTTTTTTTTTTTCTATTTTTTATGAATAGTTTTCTCTACAATTCATTTCACTTGGAGTGACATAAAGGGTCGTTGTACACAGTTCCAGTGGCAACGTTTTTCATTTTCATAATGAAAATGAAATTTTGTTGGTTTTTGATGTTGTTGTCGTAGTTGTGGTTGTGATGCACATTATACACTAGACTACAATAACTGAGTACTTTACAAAAAAAAAAAAAAATCTAAGTAGAGTAGAGTGAATGTACCACTCACTCGTTTATGCACTCAGTTGGTTTTAATTGTTGTGCAGTGTCCCAGCAAACGAAACTGTGAGAGTTCGTTGAGAAATCGGAGCTGAATTTCTGTCGACATTCGGATTTCGTGAGAACTTCGGCATGTTCTGAGTTTGAATGGAATGGAAAGCACATTTCATTTCGTTTTATGAACTTCGTGGTTTTTAACAATTTTGATGCGTTGTGGGGGAGGTACCAGAAGGTGAGGTAGGGTCCCAATCTTGTGTTAATCGAAATACTGGTATGTCCCGAGTTTTATGAGTTTCATGGTTATTCAAAATTTTGACCCGCGGTGTTTGGAGGTACTAGAAAAAGTGGTCCGTTCTGTACCAGATCTTGTATTGGTAGATATATTGAGATGTGTCAAATTTGGGGAAAAGTGGGCGAGGAGTGGACCGATATTGCCCATCTTCGAACTTGATCTATATTTGATAATAAAATTATGAGGCGCCAAGTTTGGAACAAATCTATCCCTTACCAATACTCCCTGGTGTGCCAGTTAGACAGACGGATGTCCGGGCACCTCTAGATCGAATTCAAATGTCCTAAAACGGATTTAATCCTAATATACCTGGGGTCTTAAACCATTATTTAGATGACGTACGTTTTGGCCGTATCAAATAACACAACCCTTTGTAGCCAAATGGCTTGGGTATAAAAACATTCATCCTCATTAAAAAATCCACATTTCCCTTATTATGCTCCAAATTGTTCACTGGGTTACTGCTTTGTTTGTTATCATCAGTTCAAGGTTAAGGAGTCAATTAAACGTCACCCAAAAAAATAGCATGAAATTCTTGTTCATACAATGGGGGGAAAAGACCAGTGACGAACAAGAAACGGCTGTTTGATTTTGATGGCTAACCACAGGATATTTACTCAGTTGGAAAATCAAATTGAATGCCTTTCAAATGCATGATTTGTAATGAAATACGAAGAGATTTTATTTTTTTGATAACTTTGCTCTAAGCCTGGGGCAGGAGGCATAAAAGAAATTTTGGCAAACAAGTTGATGTTATAAAGAATGTATTAGTACTATAATGAAATGCGATAAAGGGGAAACCCCACTGGTGTTCTGAAATCAGTATGCTGTTGTTACAGAATGTCCGGAGACCTTAGCCCAGGTTAACTTCGGTCATTACAAGTTTGAGTTTAGAAATTTTACAGAGAAAGTTGCATATCTCACATTTGGGATCTTGGAAATTGAAAATAATTCATATCCTTTCTTTTTTCGATAAAAATCCAAAAAATTAATTTTGATCGCAATAATCCTGATTGGCTATTACTCTCCTCGAATAAAATTTTGAATGTTGGTTCAAATGTTTTACTAATTTTGAGATATTTTCAAGGGTTTGCTTCGAAAAGTTTTAAATACCCATAGTGATTAAGGTATTATGTCTCTGTGCATTTGTGTGTAACATGAAGAAGGAAGCGAGATAGACCCTTAGTTCCATTTGAGGATTTTCATAGAATCACTTTCTGTGTCGATTTATGCATGTCAGTCCGTCCGTCTGTCCATTCAAAAAAGGCAGATCGCATTTATTATCCGATTGAGATGAAACTTTCCAAACAATGTTTGTTTGGTCCAAGGACAAAATCGGTTCAAATTTAAATATAACTCCCATATATATCTTCGTCCGATTTCGGGTTAATTGTGCTCCATAAGGCTAATATCAGTCCAGATTCATCCTAGAAACAAGTACTTCAAACTTGGTAAAAATCGGTTACGATATAGCTATAGCTTCCATATAGATGTTCCATCCGATTTGGGGTTTTAAGTCCCTCACGTGCATAATATGCACTCTACAACATTTGGAACTAGATTGCAGATACTGCCCAGAAATACCTCTGTCAACATCGGATCGGAGATTTGGATATAGCTCCCATATATATCTTCGACCGATTTCGGGTTAATTGTACACCAAATGGTTAATATCAGTCCAAATGATCTGAATTTTGGGCACATCCGACCGAATTAGGTCAAGAAGCAAGTACATCAAATTTTGGCAAAGAAAATCGGTTCAGATATAGCTATAGCTCCCACATATATATTTTTCATCCGATTTGGGGTTTTAAGTCCCTCACATTCGTAATATGTACTCCACAAGTACATATGCCTGCCTCTGTCCACAACAATGATATTTGATACCAGAGATCAGATACAGCTCGAAAATAATTATGTCAAATTGTTATCGAGATCGGTTCAGATTTCTATATATACCTTCGACATACATCTTCATCCGATTTTAAGGTTATTGTTCCCCATAGGCGCAGTATCAGCCCAAATTGGAGAGTTTTTTTCATATTTGGAGAAATCGGAGGGCTCTTTGTGTAGAATTTCAGATAATGTCAAAATGTGCCTAAAACCATCAAATACCGAATACCGGGGGTATCGTTTTTCTTACCAAAAACACCCTTTTGATTAGAAAAATTGAATCTAGTAACAGTTATTTACATCCGATAGTTTGGCTACCATTTTTACTACTCGTTAGGGGAAGGAAACTATTTTCAGGAAAGAATATCACAAATTGTAAAAATTATAGGTTAGGGACAGTATTAATCTCAGGTTGGTGTATCCGCTATCTACAAAAGTTCTTGCCAGAATATAGCAATGAAAACCATATGTTAGAAAACAGGGATTCGTGCCTCCACTTTCAATCAATTCGACTTTTAGTATTGAAAAGTTGAAAAAAGAAGTCAAATTGTGTTTTTCGTAAAATAGCAATATCGCCTTTTCGAATACGACTTTCGATTTTGTGGTCAAAGGATTTGGTCGATTTTTTTAATAACCTAAATTTATGAAATAATTAAAGTGCTTGTAGTTTTAACTTACTCCAAATTTTAAATCAAAATTTTAAAATCGAAAACCGAAGACCGGAGACCAACATTTTTTTTTTTTTTGTCGCAAAAGATATATACTTTTATTAAAGGACCCTCACGAGTAAAATTACATTTTTGACCTCTTACTCGAAACCCCATCTTATAATGGAAATACTTGAAATCAAAATTTTAAATAAGAACGTTTAACAACTTTTTAGGCAAAAAATCGTTGGTACAATAATTTATAAAAAATCAATTTGAATTTTCGAAAATTTTCAATTCTATGATGTTGTGCTGTTTCTTTGTGGGATTGGAAGTTCAACTTCATTTACTTCAAAATATTGCCATATTTTTTACAGTTCTCATATAAAAGTTGTTGAAAAAATATCCGATTTCCTTAATAAAAAAATCAACTTCCAATTATTTTCAATACCCACCTCAAATCTTCGACACACAGCAAAATATAGCCACTACTTTTTATGGTTAGCAATTTCCCAAAAAAAAAAAAAAAAAAAAAATTCAATTGAAATTGAGAAACTACTTTTACTTTCTATAAAAAAAAAAAAAAACACAAAAAAAATTAAATCAAATACAGAGAATAAATAATAGCCTATAATCAAATGGAAGAAGACGACGACGTGCATGGAGGAAAAACTACGCCCACATCCTCTTCTATCGACAAAGCAATGCCACCAGCCAGTTAGCCATCCAAAAATTCCAACACACAAACAATCCAGTCTAATTACTCAAACTGGACACCACTACTGGACTGGTGGTGCTGCTGGTGTTTGACTACCTTACATTTCTCCTTTATTGGTATTAACGTGTATTTTTGTCTACTTTTTTTTCTTGCTTGCAGATGGTCAATTATGGAAGGAGGTCAAACAAGAAGTCGACTACTTGTTGAAACCACAAGTCTTGGCCGATGCTGAACGTCACGTGAGAAGCGCCAACTTATCGCGCATTGTGCTCATTGATAATTTACAACAGGCCATTGAAGTTGAAAATCCACCGGCCGAAGAAATTGCACAATTGCAAAATAGAAAGGGTAAGTGGAATTTCTTTTTTTTTTTCTCTAATGCCAATTGGGTATTGATGTGGGAAATTTATTGGGTTGCAGAGGTGGGAGAACAGTGGGGTAGTATTAGGAAATAATTTCAACCATCCGATTTTTGAAATAAGAAAAAAATATCAAGTTCTAGGAATGTTGTTATTGAAATCCACACAAGGAGTTCCTTGTGATTACTTTATCCCCTGAAAGAGAATTATCTATATTGGTCCACGATATCGTATAGCCCCCATATAACGGGTCCCCCGAAATTCGGTATTTTGATGATTTTGCTACGTTATTCACCGGAATTGTTTCAAATTTCGTATATAAAGTTCGGAACAGTTACTGTAGCCTATGACACAAATTACTTATGCGTATAGCCCTATGAAAGAGTTTTCAATTGAGCGATATTTTCCGAATTTTTTTTAAAAAAGTTCAAGTTTCTTCCAAATTGTGGAGGATATAAAAAGTTTGTCCCGGTCGAACTTAGCTGCTTTTTTGCTTGTTACTCCTAAAACATCTTTGGAGAAAAAGTTGTTGTGAATATTTTAAGACACAATTGGTGTATTATTTATTTTAACAGAAAAAATGGATCATTTTTCAAAAACTGAGAGATCACTATGAAGTATATTTTGGGTCATTTGGCGATCGGAGATCGAATTTCTAAAATGCTAGTCTTCTTTCGCAGCAATAGTAAACCTGTAATTAAGTTAGTCACATTAAATTTTCAGACTTTCAAGGTTTTATATTTTTTCAAGTTCAAGGAGGATATTAGTAAAACCATTGCACAATGGTCCCACATCCAATTTTTCTGTCCAAAATTATTTCAACGTCTCCATATGTAACCCGACAAACCACCAGAGACCTCAATAAAAAATTTTAGGATTTTAACTCTGTAATTTCACTCTGTAATTTCCCAACCCACCTTCAAATCTCAACTTTAGATTCTAAAAATTATCTAAATATAAAATTTCAGAATTTTATCTTTATCCCTTTAGCCAAGAAAATATTTAGTACCATTTAGTACGTTTAGAATAATTATAGAACACTTTTCTAGAACTATCTCCACCTCTTAATCACAGACACCAACAGTGGCCTCAATATCAAATTTCGGGATTTCAGCCCTATCCCATCACCCAATATCAAATTTAGTACCATTTAGTGCTTTTCGTACAAATATAGGACGCATTTTCATTTGAGGATTCCAGACCTTTCACATTACCCAATGGCACCTTTGGTACTTTTTCTACAAGTAAAGAACACATTTACAAGCCCATCTCCAAATTTCAAACAAAGATACCATCAGTAATCTAAATATCAAATTTCAGAATTTTATCTCTATCACTTCACCAAATACCAAATATAGTACCATTCAGAACTTTTCGTACAATTGTAGAACACATTTCCAAAACCACCTCAATATGTCTAGGCTACACATGAACAGCAACCAAACATGAACAGCAACTAATACCAAATTTCAGATTTCAAGCACTGTTTGTACACCCAATGCAAATTGTACCAAATATAGTACAATTTAGTACTTTTCGTGTACTTGTTGTACACATTTCCAAAACCACCTCTTTATGACAAATCTACCACCAACCCAAATACAAAATATCAATATTCCAGCTTTATCCGTTCACCTTAAACCAAACTGTTCCAAATTTAGTACCACACTTGGTACATAATTCCAAAATCACCTTCATATATCAAACTTACTTTCCAATTTTGATTCTAATAATAAATTCAAGTTTTTAGCTGTATCTGTCACATAATTCCAAATGGTACCATTTTAGAAGTTTTGTACCGTTTTAGAACTTTTCGTATCCTTAAAGTTCAAATTTCCAAAAATCCGTTGCTACATCTATCGTACACTTCATCAGAGTCTCAATTTCCTAATTCTGGCTCATTCCCTTTGCCCAATACCTTTGGTACGAATTTTGAAAAACCCAGCCTTATCACTTCTAGCTTCAGTTGTTTTGACTGGGGGTTTATTCTCAGTCAGTTATTTCCCTTCTCTTTTATTCATAGATTTCTAGCAGGTATTTAGTCTTCCCCAAAATAGTTGCCATATTTCAGCGTTTTTATCTATTTTTAATCCCATAAAAGCTGTTGCATACTTTTAGGCCACAATTTTCTTTTTAATCCATCATCTGATCCTGCTTTCAAAAAATCCTCCGCTTATAACTTTTTAACGACAAAACACAATTATTGCAATTTCTAACGAATCGTAAAAACGCCAGACAATCAGACAATTTGATTTTCACACCTATCTCCCTGGTGTATGCCAGCCACCCCACACACAATCAGGTGTAAACAAAAAGAAACCCAACAAATAAAACGAAAACGACAGTAGTGAGTGGGTGAGAGAGGGAAGTGCCAAAAAACCCAAATCTACCAAAAGGATAAAGTTTTCTTTTTGTACAGTTTTTTGGCTGGCTGGCAGTCTGAACGACTTACTTAACTTGACACCCCTTTGGGGACAAAGGTGTTGTAGCGTTTTTTTTTCCAAGTCGTTACAAATAAAAATTATGTTCTGGGCTGTTTTTTGTTTCTCCTACTGAATGCCAAAGTGTGTTTGTGGTGGTGGGGGAGGTATAGGCTTAAATCTGCCATAAAAACTGTTCCATTTGGCAACACACAAAAAGTTTTGGCGTTTTTTTTCTTTTGTTTGGCTGGTCGTTAAGTTTCTTTCTCTTTGGGCTGTTTTTCTGTTTGGTTTTTGTGGGGGTGGTCGTTTAGCTTCTTAGACTTTGGACCCTTTTGCCAAGGGGTTAAATACTTGAAAGAAATGTTTGTCAGCAGAACTATAAGAACGACTTGCCTGTCATCGTAATAAAAAACTTAAACGCGTGAAAATCAATTAACAGAAAAACAACCAAAGGGGTTGTTAAAATTAAGCCCGTAGACAAAAAAAGGATTAAAGCTTGTTAAAAGAAAAGAGGGCTGGGTAGGGTTGGCCTTTAATTGTTTTAAGCCTTCTGTTTGATTGACCCTAAGGACAGAAAGAGAACTCGTTTAAGTGACATTGAAACATGATATGTAAACATTTACTTTTTTCCAAGGGTATTTACAATGAAGTACAGGTGGTTTTTATGGGATGGATTATTGGAAACCAAAGTTGTGGTGGTAGAGGTCATGGTTTGTGGTATGAGCAAGATGGATGGAATTTTGAAATATTTTTTAATGGTATTTGTAAGAAAAATTACATAAAAATGTTGGTATTATGAGAATATTGAATTTATAGGAAAGGAATTTTCATTCAAATAAAATTTGTTGTCCAAACAGCTGATTGTTGATACAGTTTCGATTTTGATGTATACTTTTAGGTTAAAAAATAATTTAGAGCTTGGGAGATGATAAATTCTCTTTTCGAACATTTTACCAATTTCTTGGCAATAATTTAGCATTTTATTTATATAAACATAATATATAGACATAATATATGATGAAGCCACATGTTGGGCGCCACTTTGATAGGATGCTAGAATATTGAGAAGCTCATGATAATTTTATAGGAAATATTTGAAGTCTTAGTTCTTCAATCCTTTGCTAGAAGCTAGGTAACGAAAGGAATTTTCATTACGATGAAGCCACACGTTGGGCGCCACTCTGATATGATGCTAGAACATTGAGAAATTATTTAACACTTTGCTAGAAGCTAGGTACCGAAGAGAAAATTTCATAACGATGAAGTCACACGTTGGGCGCCACTTTGTTAGGATATTTGAAGAGCAGTGATTTCATGATAGAATTAAACTATTATATGATTTTAGTCCCTCCACCATTCTTTTGATGATAAAGACTAAAGGTGAATTTCAGTAATGATGTTCGACATTACTTTGAGTTGGTAACAGAAATATTCCTCTGTATAAAGTAATTATGTCGAAGCCTTCGAATTTGCTAAATGGCTCATGAAATTTGAATGGTATCCTGGCACTGATAGATTCTTCAAGACCTGTCCTGAATAACATTTTATCAAAACTAGTTTGAAAACTCATCATCTGCTAATTAAGTATTAACTCTTCACGAGTATTCATATTAGATATTATATTTATAAAACAGTGTTGCCACGTTTGTTCGGGATGCCGGAGTATTTTGTTATTGAAAAATGGTCAGGCTTAATCCCATTATTGTTGTTTTTATAAAAACAACGTTTGTTTATTAGTGTGGAAGGATGGTAATGTTTACCAGGGGGTAAGGCAGGGAATAACTGGGTTTCGGAAAGAGCCACCAATTCCTATCAGTTCCCTGATAGGGAATTTTTCTCCTAGTGACGTGATCGTAAGCTCAATATTTTAGATTACTATGCAAGACCTTGCAAAGTCTATGGTATGATGTGACAGGTCTGCAGGTCTTTTGGTATTGAAAATAGGCTATATAGGTCCACATGTTGGTATAGGCCCATATACTGTAGGTTTTTGTCACAACCGAATTTGCTCTAAATTGGGAGTATGTATTTCCAGAATACATAGGAAACATCATTACAGAGAACTGTACATATAGGTCCAAGTTTTTGGTATATTGTACTCCATATAATTGTACCTCTAGATATTCGGTGTTTTGACGAGTTTTGCCACAGTTTCACCAGAACTAGTTCTAATTTCATATTTGGAATTCATAATGGGTTCTACCTTCTAAATTTCCAGTACTGGTACACATTTTCGTACAGCTCACATATAACTGTATCTTCCTATATTCGGTATTTTGACGATTTTAGCCGCATTTTTATACCCTCAGCCATATGGCTAGAGAGGATATATATCATTTGATAAGGCCAAAATGTGCCTGATCGAAATAACGGTTTTAGACCCTAGGTCTCTTTGGACAAAATCCATTTCAGGACATTTGGAGTCGATCTAGCGATTTCCGTCCGTTCGTCCATTTGTCTTCAAATTACACACATCACAATATTTTTATTAAAACAAGGTCTGGTGCGAAAATGGAATATATCGGTCCAGTACTTCTGGTACCTCCCCACAAAGGGTTAAAATTTTGAATAATTATGTAGCTCATGAAACGAGAAATGAACATCCGATTCCATTCAGACTTGGTGCATCTCAATATGTCTATGAACACAAGATCTGTTATAAAGATGGTAGAGATGGGTCCATTCTTCTGATTTTGGACATATGCCGCCATTACCCATTATTTGGTAAGGGGAAATTAGGTCATTTTACCTGGTGTTTTTAATGGAATAACGCGTTTGTTTAGAAAATGAGAAAAATAAATTGTTGTATTTTGACCTTCTCGTGATGCAGATGCTTGTTTGTTGTCTTTAACGTGTAATGTCGAAAGCTTCACACATGATTAACAATTTTTTGCTGAATAAGTTCGACCGAATCGAACTTTCAAGGTAAAGAACTACAGTTGAAAAGAACTCCTTTTTGCAGACTTATTGGTGAAAAAAAATAATTACTTATTTCGTTGGACATGGCCCTATTAAAATAATGTGTTAGTAATCCGATTTGTAATGAGTTTTTTGCTGGGTACCTCTTCCCGGTTGCCCTATTTTCTCATTTCCTATTTGGCTCTTCCAAATTTCAATGCTCTTGTATTTATCATTAATTTTGAAATATTTCCGACAAATCAATAGCATTTTTAACCGTTAGCACCGTTTTTTCGCTCATTGTGTATTTCGGTGAGTGCGGACTTCCACAAAATCGGACAATTTGGCATAAACAACCAGCGGCGAATGGGGTTATTTACATTTATCCAGTTTTTTTCTTGTGCGTATTTGTTTTCCTCAGTCTTTTGTTTATAATTCACACCCTCTCTGTTTGATTCGCAATCGTTGTCGTTGCTACAGAAAACGCATATTAAATGCAATCAATCGAACGGCGATTCGATTAAGAATTCAAAACGCATTGTTTATTTTGTTTACGCAATCATGGCAACAGTCAGTTAGCTGTGGTGTTAAATAATGGCAAACGGGAGGAGTAATTAAATGGAATCTCAATTTAAATGAAGTAAACAAAATAACAGCGAAAAAAGTGTGTTATGGAAGAAATGGGAAGTAATGAGGGGAGGAGATAACTTCCTATAGATCTACCGGGCTTTTTATCAAAAATCAATTAATGGATCCAAACTTAGGAGAACTTGTTCTGAAAATCCACAAACTTTTCCTCCCACAAAAATCATTAAAACTTTTATTCTTCCTTTCTAATTGATCTGAAAACAAAAATTGCAAGACATTTTACTTTCACCATATTCATCAAAAATTCACTAATTTCATTTCCTTTTCCAAATTTCAAAAGATTGATTTCGTTTTGATTTCTTGGCAAGAAAGCAAAAAAAAAAAAAAAAAAAACAAAATAAAAGCGATACGAAATTAAACTTTGCAGACAACTTATTAAAGTCCATGACATTGCATGTTTGGTGGTTATGAGAGTGGCTTAGGTGTTTCCAATTTATTTTCGATATCGTAAATTGTAGGCAAAACGACCCTTTTCGATTGTTGCATTGCATGTTCGCTGTCTGGTGTTGGCTGACATGGAAATCACCATCAAAGGCGTTTTCTTATTGACACCTAACAAACAAATGCCAGTTCTACTTTTTTTCCTCCCCAAAAAAAGAAGCATATAAACAAAAGTCAAAATGAAATTCAATGCCGTTTTTATTTTTAGAAAAAAAAAATAAAAATGCAAGTTTTGAACAAATACTTATTCCATAATGTAACCAAAATTTTTCAAACATGCAAGATATGTCAAAGTTTATGATAAAATCGAACCTTAATTGTCATTTTCTTGGCTAATTTTTGTCAGAAGCCAAAACCCATGGACATCTGCTTTTGATGAGGGTCAATTTTTGGTGGAAATATATTTATTGGATTATCTTTTTTTCAAGAATTTAAGAAACCATGAAAGCATTGCCTACATTGAAGAAAGTTGTTCCGATATGTTCCGATATGAGAGTTGTTTTCCTCGGAAGAAATTATTCAAGCGGAGAGAGTTATTTATGAATAATGTAACAATTTTTGTATTTATTTATTATTATTATTATTATTATTATTATTATTTTTTTTTTTTTTTGGAAACTTCCCATGGCTTCCCGACATTCTTATGGGAGCAAAAGTTTTCAGTCTCTGAGAGAATAACTTAGAACAGCTTTGCCACAATATATGCATTAGTGGTGGTTAATTAAAATAAAGAGAGAATACGTGTGCTTTGTTGATACTTCCCTACCACTCCCACTCGAGGCTGCTCATAGCTGATTTATAGCCAATCGACTATTGTTACAATAATGGGTTGACCTTAAATTTCCTATTCCCCGCGGCCCTTTTCTCTCATGGTTCTTCCAAATTTCAATGCTCCTGTAATTATCATTAATTTTGAAATACTTCCGACAAGTCAATAGCATTTTTAATCGTTAGCAACGTTTTTTCGCTCATTGTGTATTTTGGCGAGTGCGGACTTTCACAAAATTGGGCAATTTGGCATAAACATTGCCAATCGACTATCGATTTTTCGACTTTTTTTTCAATGAGCCAAAAAGTATGCAGCATTAAATAATTTTGAATCTATCCAGTAAAAAGTCAAAAATCGATCGATCGACCATCTGAAATCAACTGCTTTGGATTTTGATTAAATGAGTAAATTTCGAAAATCAGTTTTAAATTATTGAACCAATTGAAAAATATGAGTTTTAATTTCAACTACGACTCCCTCGAATAAAAACTTTTTTATAAAAAAAAATATTTTTAGGAAAAGTTCCATCATCTCGGATGAAAGATTTTTTAGTTGCAAACATTGAACGTAATATCATCCAGGCCTCCGAAAAACAGGCTCAAATTTGTACAAAGAGAACAGAAAAAAATCAATCGAGCACACTCTTTTTTTCGATGTCAATTTTTTATGGGAGCAAATTTTTTGAGTGGAAGCAAAATTCGTTCGAAATCGAGCAGATTCTACTCTTGTTATACCGTTGATTTATATTCATATGTGTATGTGTATTTTTTTCTGTACACCATCAGAGCTGTACCCTCCCTCCTACCCTCTCCTCCTCACCACATACACAAATCAGCAAACATAACTAAATTCTCTCATTTTCGCTCTCAGAGCTAACTATATTTTGAGCGATTCTGCTCCCACTCTAATTTTTCAAACAGGAGTGACTCGCGAGCACTGCCACACAAAACAATAGAATGAAGAGTAGACACCGTAAAAAACTCCCACTATTCGAGCAATCTTTCTCGCAAGCAAGTTCCGCTCCCCAGTGAAAATGAGCAAATCTGTGCTATAATCTCATCTAAATATACAACACCTGATCTACTTTTTTGTCTACAGATATAAAAATTGCAGAACAGCAGGTGACAGCATAAATTTTCCATTTTTTTTTTTTTCATTGCTCGAATCCTCTCGATTTTACCCGCGAGTGGGAGCAATCGAATAGTTCTTATTTTTCAAGAAAATTATTCTCCACTCATTAATTGTGATTCCTTGAAAAATAAGAGAAAAGGAAGCCAGTAAGATTGAGTAAGTGAATGGTGTAGGAGTTTACTTCTGGAATGAAATCGAGTAGAGCAGAAAAATAAGTGTGATATTTGAAATTGGCTCGAATCGAAATAAGGAAGGTAGCTTAAATTCGAGCGGAAGTATTCCTGTGAGAAAACAAAATGAAGTTGAGTATGCGAGCATTTCGGGGCACTTTTTTCACTCTCATAGTTTTTGCTCGGTTTTTGTATTTCAAGTTGAGCCTAAAAGTATGCAAAGATTGAAGTGGTCTTACTTTCAATTTTCTGCTATTTTGACAAGCCCCATAATAGTTGCAAAATCGATCGATTATCAGAAATCGAAATAAAACCCGAAATTCAAAGAGTCTAAAAGTCTAATTTGGCTTACCACTAAGTATCCCTCAGAATGGAAAAAGTCATTAAGACAGGGAATATTTTTTCAGAAGAAAGACTTTTCCCATTATCCTTCCTTCAATACCGTGATCTAAAAATAAAGCACTTTTCTGCCTAAAAACGATCCTTAGCCAGGGATCCTCTGTTTTTCTATGCCATTCTATGATCATTTTCGAGTGGGAGTATAATACTCTCGAAATATAGCGGATTTTTTATTCTGAGTTTTTTTGTTTTATTTCTGAGTATTTTCACAACCCACAGCTCTCTTGGATTAAAATCTCACACCATTTCGAAGATTTTTACTTACACTCTTTTTTTCAAAGCAGGTGTACTCGAGAACACTCCAACATAAAACAAAATTGTGGAGAGCATATTTTTTGTAAACTCGTACTATTCGAGTAGTTTCACTTCCTAGCATTAGTCAATCACGAACAAAATCGACCAAATCGGAGCTCTGGTCAAGTTACATTTCCACAACTTTCCCCTCCTCTACAGTAAAAAAATTTTCAGTAATCATAACTTAATCATTACTAATTTTTTATCTTATGTTTGTATTTTCCAGGACACCGTTTGACATGGCAGGCCTATCATCGTTTGGAAGATATCCACGGTTTCTTTGATTACATGGCTAAAACTTATCCCGACATTTGTTCCGTTGAAACCATTGGTTATTCGATTGAAAAGCGTCCTTTGAAGATTTTGAAGTAAGTAGACAAATTAAACCCTCAAGCCATCGAACTAACGCCCAAAATCTTTCAGGATCTCCAATGGCAATGCCAATAACCCCGGTATTTGGATTGATGGTGGTATGCATGCCCGTGAATGGATTAGTCCCGCCGTTGTCACCTTTGTTGCCAATCAATTGGTTGAGGGTTGGGATGATTTGCCCGCCTACATGCGTAATGTCAACTGGTACATTCATGCCGTGGCCAATCCTGATGGTTATGAATATTCGCACACCACTGATCGTTTGTGGCGTAAAAATATGAGATCCCATGGTCGTGCCTGTCCCGGTGTTGATTTGAACCGTAACTTTGGTTATAAATGGGGTGGTAAGGGTACCTCGGCCAATCCCTGCGCCCAAACCTACCGCGGCTCCAAGGCATTCTCTGAACCTGAGACATTCTATATTTCCAAATACATTAGCAATTTCCCCAGAGACACATTCAAGGCATACTTGTCGTTCCACAGTTATGGTCAATACATTTTGTATCCATGGGGCTATGACTATCACATTACCAAGGATATGGCTGATTTGGATTTGGTGGCACGTCAAGCAGGAACAGTAAGTTACAAATGTTTAAGGCCATTGGAAAACATGATTGTCTCATCCTTCTTTTTTTCAATTATTTTTTTCACAGACCATAACCCGCAGAAGTGGTGTTAAGTACACAGTTGGTGCCTCGGCTCACACTTTGTATCCCGCTTCCGGTGGCTCCGATGACTGGGCTAAGGGCTTTGCTGGCATCAAATATGCCTACACAATTGAAATGGGTGACACTGGTCGTTTCGGTTTTGTTCTCCCAGCCTCCTATATTGAACCGAATGGCAAGGATGGCTATACATTTGTGGAGACTGTTGCTCGTGCCATTACCATGGGCAAGAATGCTCGCAGACGTAAACTGAAGGCCAGCATCGCCAACACCACCACACAATAGAGATAAGGAGTAAGGAACAAGCAGCCTAGAAAGGAGGCCATATAACGGTCTAGTAATTTTAGTGCCAAGATTTATACAAAGTATAAATCTTTTAATGAATGAAACACAAAACACACTAACAATGTATAAGGATAAATTAGCATAAATTATTTATTGATATATTTTAGGTAATTTATTTATTTATTTATTATTTATTGAGAAAAAAAAAACAGAAAGAAAGATGGCAGAAGAAACTTTAAAGAAATAAGAAATTATTTATTTATTTATTTATTAAAACATAAATTATTTATTTAAATTAATTTAATGAGACAAATATGAAGAAACCCTTATTTATTTTAATTTATTTATTTAAAAACAAAAAGAGAAGAAATATGTATTTATTTAATTTATTTATTGTACTCTAGTTGTGTCGAGCAATGAGATGCATTGGCGTTGTAAAATGCCGATTTAAAAATATAAATTTAAAACAAAATATTTAAATTTTATTTTTTTATTTGGGAATAAGGATTAATTTATGACTAGAAAGAAACAAATTCTAAAAATCGAGTTTAAAAATGGCTAATTCTTGGCTTTCGAACGCAGCGGACAGAAAACTCTGCTTAAACCCACATTTATGCCATTATAAAGAATGTTTGGCTTAATAAACAGTAAGGAAAATTCATAAGTCGGGCGGGGCCGACTATATGATACCCTACACTACTATGCATATTTAGTAGAGCTCCCGTAACAAAAACAATATTTGAAGTAGATCATACCACCTATTAACCTTGGGCTTTAGAGAAGTAATAATTTGGTTTCAGAGGGAACTAATATAGGGCAGGCATATCCAATTCTGAATCGATTTTAACCAAATTTGACCGAGACATTTTTATCTTTTATACCAAATAACATTGCATGATATTACTTCGAGAAGGGTGTATTAACAAAATATATATCGTTGTCGAGTTCAACCAAATGGAAACGTGCGTCCCGAAATTCACTCCATTAACATTAGCCATTATTGACTCAATAAACCTGAAATCGGAATAAAGATATATAAGGAAGTTATATCCGAATCTTAGACGACTTCGATAAAATTTATAAAGCTATTTCCGAGCTCTTTAAGATATCTAGTACCAAATATCATCGTTGTCGGATGCATATTACGAATGTGAGGGACTTAAAAACCAAATTGATTGAAACACATATACAAGAGCTAATCTGAACGGACCTTCGCCAAATTTGTTGTACTTGCTTCTAGACCTAATTCGGTCGGATGTGCGAAAAATCAGTTCATTTGGACTGATATTGGCCATTTGGTGCACTAGTAATCCGAAATCGGTCGAAGATATATATGAAAGCTATATCCAAAACTGGTCCGACCTTAAAGACCAAACTGGTTGAAACATATATACAAGAGCTAATCTGAACGGACCTTCCCCAAATTTGTTGTACTTTCTTCTTGACTGAATTCGGTTGGATGTGCGAAAAATCAGGTCATTTGGACTGATATTGGCCGTTTGGTGCACTAGTAATCCGAAGTCGGTCGAATATATGAGAGCTATATCCAAAACTGAACCGATCTTGATACAATTTGGCAGAGGCATTTCTGGGCTGCATTTGATATCTGGTACCAAATATCATACTTGTGGGGTGTATATTATGAATATAATGGACTCAAACACCATATCGGATTAAACATATATATGGGAGCTAAAGCAATATCAACCGACCTTCACCAAATTTGATGTACTTGCTTCTACACTGAATTTGGTGGGATGTACCAAAATACAGGTCATTTGGACTCATATTAGCTATTTTGTGCACAATTAACCCGAAATCGTTTGAAAATATATATAGTAGCTATATCCAAATCTGAACCGATCTTCATACAATTTGACAGAGGTACTTCTGTGTTGCATCTGCTGTATGGTACCAAATATCATTGTTGTGGAGTGTTTATTATGCATATGAGGGACTTTAGCATCAAATCGGATGAAACTATACAGCGTGAGATGAAAAAAATGCACCCAACTTTAGACTGCTGTCATTTCTAAGCCACTCGTCCGATAGCTATTAAAATTATTCCGGTGACAGCTCATAATATTGTTTACAAGCGTACAAAAGCATTTTGGTGAGAATTTTCCAGAAAAATAGTTATTTGTGATGGAATTCGAGCGTGATAGTGTGGTTTCTTTACATTTGGCTGGAAAACCACAAGTGACAATCGTTAGAGCACCACAACATTTAAATGTAAATAAATCTTTTGTGCCTCGTTCTATCGCTCGTTATCGTGATACTGGTAGCGTAGCCCGCTGTCAAGAAAGTGGACGAAAGAAAACAGCAACATCAGCAGAAATGGTTCGAAAAGCATAGAAGCGACTTGATCGAAACCCGCGTCGCAGTGACCGAAAAATGGCTCGTGATCTGAATATATCGCAATATTCCATTCGGCAAATATTGAAAAATGAGCTCGGGTTAAAGCCATTGAAATTAAAAAATGTGCAAGAACTTACCTTCGCTTGACCGAAAGTGATAAACTGCCGAATTTGGTTTTCTCCGATGAGAAAACATTCGTTGTCCTGCAGTTTGTAAATGATCGTGTTTACTTGCCATCAGAATAAATGCCGAATATTATCACGAAAACATTCTGGAGGGTTTATTAAAGCCTTGGGCACGCAAATATTTTGCCCGCTGAATTTGGACATTTCAACAGGACTCAGCACCATCGCACTCAGCACGCGCCACCCAAGAAAGGTTACAAAATGAGGTTTCTCGCTTCATTTAAAGCGCGCAATGGCCACCAAAATCTCCCGATACCAATCCGTTGGACTATTGTGTCTGGAGTATTTTGGAAAGCAAAGCAAAAATACTAAAGTGTCGATCACCTCAAGCAAGCGCTTCGCCGGGATTGGGCCAAAATACCGCAGAGCAACATTCAGGCAGCGTGTGACGGTTTCATTGGCCATAATTCGTGCCAAAGGTGACCAATTCGAACAAATCTAAATTTATTCTAAAATTTGATGCTATTTCCGACATTTTTTGCTTTCATCCAATAAAATTAAAAAAAAAAAAAAATGAAAAAATGATGGCGTTTGACTTTGATGCAGTTTTCTTATCTCACCCTATATATGAGAGCTATAGCCATATCTGAACCGATTTTTACCAAATTTAACGTACTTGTTTCTACACTGAATTCGATTGATATGTCATTTGGACTAATATTGCCCATTTAATGCACAATAACCCAAAATTTTGTTGAAGATATAATATATGTGAGCTACATCTAAATTTGAACTGATTCTCACAAATTTTAATAGGGCTTGTTCGGAAAATTTCATCTCAATCGAATAATAAATGCGACCTGAATTTTGTTCATAAGAATACTTACAAAGTAATTCTATGAAGATCCTCGCTCGCTTCCTTCTTCTGTGGTATAGGATATGAAAACAAATTATCACATTTGAATTAGAATCTGTAGCAGAATTTTATAACAAATAATTTTGTAGTATATTCGGACTTACTACGATCCCGTTTAAAGGTAGATTTTAACCATATCTTTAAAATATTACTAACAAGACCCCTTTGTTGACTTGGTTGAGGGCTAAAATTTTGCGACCAAAAATATTCCTAGAATTTTTTTGCACTATTGCCGCAGACACTATATACCTAAAATGTCCGAATTCCGAAGAATCTTAAGTCGAAAAATTATAAAAATTGTGGAAGACGGGGGAACTTGTCCCCTCTACTTAGGTTACTGCGATGGAAAGTTTGAAAATGTCAATACACATGTCTCTACTGTAATAATCTGCCATATTCTCCGCGTTTTTTTGTGCAGTGTAATTTTGCATAAATTGTGTTTCTATTGGACCTAAACAATGAATATGTTGAAAAATTGTGTGAAGCGCCTTAAGGTATGTTATAAAAATGCTTAACACAAATGTAGGAAAAGTAGCTTTATATATGACAAACAATATGTGTTTACTAGCCTCTAGTCCTTACGTTTACGTCCGGCTGGTAGCAATATGACAGTGAGTAGGGGTATTTTTATACCCTCAGTTATAGTCAGGCTATAGAGGGTATATATCATTGGAATATAAATATATTCAATTAGATGACAATGCAATGTACTAAATGAGCTCTGCTCAATTCTATTCCGTATTTGTTGTTTTTTTTTTAATTAGAAATATTGTAAGTGTAATAAATCCCTAAGTATATATCTTCTAATATTTGAAGGCTATTTGATGACAAACTTACAACGTTAGTATATCCCCCGACCTTCAGGTCCTTATTTAACAATTTCAGCTGCCTTGGCTACTTCTTTCCAATCAACGGCAATAAATCTGTAATTAAAAATAAATTGCTTTCCACAAATCTCTCGCAAACACATTTTTCTGACACAATTGTCGAACTTTTGGAGACTTATTTTTAATACAATCTAAATTAATTTGGCCAAATCCAAAAAAATAACTACAGCAAGAAAATACTCTCTTAAGTGCTTGTCTTAGCCATGTATTATCCAGTCCCTCCATTTCATTTTTCTTCCGTCAATGTTTGTCTTCGCTGTTGAAATAGTCCGTGTTTGCCAAAGGATGTGACGGTTGGTTCTTCTTCTTTTGTGTGGGTTTTCTTTTGTGGTGAATGGAGAAGAGGAAGACAAAAAAAGCGAAAACTCTTACCAAGACATACACTGACTGTGGCATTGGGCTAGAGCTATATTAAAGCTTTTTTTCGGCAAATTTTCCCTGCAAACACACGCACACACACAGCGAGGGGAGAAATTATAAAAACTACAAAGAATAAAGATTAATATTAAATCTTTATGCCTGTAATGCTGCAAGATTGTACAACAACAAAAGAAACAACTTAAGTTTACTGCTGTCGTCGCCGAACATCGAACAATCACGGACGAATGGATGACTGCATCCTGCTTGAATGGGTGACATTCATCTTTAACGTATTTTTTTTTTCTGTCGCCTTATTTTACTTCTTTTATTCCAAAGAATTTTTGGTATAGCTAAAGTGGTTTACATGAAGATATGTCTTTCATTTCATTTTAATTTGAAATATTGGGATGGAAGAAGTTTTAAAAACAAAAATAAAATAAAATTTTGGCCAAATATTTAAATTATTAAAAAAAAAACATAATTATGAAAAAATTTATATATCTTTTTTAATTAAATTTTTTTCTTCGTTTTTTCTAGAAACTTTTTATTTTGTGTAACAAGTGATTCGCCCCACCCTAGTGCACATTATTGTAAAGCATATTGATATTGTGACGTAAAGGACAAAATAAAGCACCCAAATTGTAACCTTGAACTTTCTGTTTCAGCTTTTCTTTATTACATTTGGGGGTTTTGGAATTTACATGATGGGAATTCGAAGCAAACATTCCTTGCTTACATTGGTGCTAGAATCCATTAAGACGCCAAACTATGACGGAAAATTGGAATGAACAAAAAAAAACGAAAAAACTATTTCTTCGACGACGTGAAGATATATTTTTGTTGTCAAATTTGAAGAAATGAATTTTAATAAATTCATCTTTGCATTAGCAGCAATTTGAAATGAAAATTTAGATATTTAGACCTCATAAAAGAACATGTGTACGCCAAAATTCGGAACGTTTGAGAGGAATTTTGCAACCAAAATCCGATCTCTATCATCTTTACAACAGATCTAGTGTTGATGGAAATATTGAGATGCACTAAGTCTAAATGAAATCGAATGTTAATTTCGCGTTTTATTAACTTCTGGGGAGGTACCATAAGGAGTGGACAGATATATCCCGTCTTCACAGCAGATCTTGTATTAGCACAAATAATAGGATGTGTGAAATATTTAGAGAACCGGATGCTTATTTCGGATTTTATAATCGTTTTGGGGGAGGTACCAAAAAGAATGGTCCGATATCTACCATCTTTATAACAGATCTTGAGTTGATAGATTGATAATAATTTCGCGTTTTATGAGCTTCATGGTTATTAAAAATGTTGACCCTTTGTGGGGGAGGTAGTTGATGGAGTGGGCGATATTGTCCATTTTCGCATCTGACCTAGCACTGTTGTAAATATTAGGATTTGGAAGGTCCTTTCACTTTTTTTTTTTTGAAAATTTTAACCTTTTGTGGGTGAGTTACCTGAAGGATATTGCCCATCTTCGATCTATGTTTGATAATAATATTGCTTTGTACCAAGTTCGGACCAAATCGGATATTCCCTTTGAGAGTTATCGAACACACCAGCCACACTGACGGACGGACATCGCTAGATCGACTCCAAATATACTGAAACGTGTTTGGTTCAAAGAGACCTAGGGTCTAAAACCGTTATTTCAATGAGGCACGTTTTGGCCGTATCAAATGATATATACCCTCTCTAGACATATGGCTGCGGGTATAAGAACAGAAAATTTTAGGCCATCTACTTAAACAGTTATTCTAAATTTTTATAATGGTACTAATAATGCATAACTTACATTTGTTTCATTTTACATATTTTGGATTTACATACCTGAAATTAGAATAAAAAAATAAATGTGATTAATTTTGTATTTGAAATCTAAACTAATAACAAGCAAAACAGGTTTAGAAAGTATTTTCCCGACAGATATACAGGGTAAGATAAATAAACTGCAACAAAGTCAATCGCCATAATTTTTACATTTTTTTTAAATTGTATTGTATGCAAGCAAAAAATGTCGGAAATAGCATCAAATTTTAGGATAAGTTTTGATTTTTTCGAATTAGTCATCTTGGCACGAATTACGGCCTTTAAACGGCCAATGAAATGGTCACACGCTGCCCGAATGTTGCTCTGCGGTATTTTGGCCCATTCCCGGCGAAGCACTTGCTTGACGTGATCGACACTTTGGTATTTTTTAGTGCCAACCTTGCTTTCCAAAATACTCCAGACACAATAGTCCAACGGATTGGTATCCGGAGATTTTAGTGGCCATTGTGCGCTGCAAATGAAGTGAGAAACCTCATTTTGTAACCATTCTTGGGTGGCGCGTGATGAGTCCTGTTGGAATGTCAAAGGTCTGCGGACAAAATGTTTCCATATCCAAGGCTTTAATACACCCTCCAGAATATTTTCTCGACAATATTCGGCATTTATTCTGATGCCACGATCGATTAATACGAGTGGAGAGCGACCATCAGCTGTTAGGGCGGCCCACACCATCACCATGGCCGGCGCTTGAGTTCTCGTGGCCAACCGAAGGAGCACATTTTCAGCTGACCTCTTTGGCAAGTAAACCCGATCATTTTGTTTGTTTACAAACTGCTGGACAACGAATGTTTTCTCATCGGAGAAAACCAAATTCAGCAGTTCACCACTTTCGGTCTCCGAGCTCATTTAATATTTGCCGAATATTGCGATATGTTGCCATTTTTCGGCCACTGAAACGCGGGTTTCTTCCGTCCACTTCCTTGACGTTGGGATACGCTACCAGTATCACGGTAAAGAGTGATGGTACGAGACAGAAAAGACTTATTCACATTTAAATGCTGGAGTGCTCTAACGATAGTCACTTGTGGTTTTCTGGCCAAATATCGCACTTGAAATCCACACTATCGCACTTGAATTCCATCACTAATAAATTTTTTTTCTGAAAAATTCTCATCAAAATGCTTTTGTACGGTTATAAACAATATAATCAGCTGCCACTGGAATAATTTTAACAGCTGCCAGACGAGTGGCTTAGAAATGACAGCAGTCTGAAGTTGGTTGCAGTTTTTTCATCTCACCCTGTATATCCAGCACTCCATCAGTGACTTTCATTCCAACTTTCAGAATTTTAGCTCGTTCCGTTCGTCTAATATAATGTATTAAATTTTTAGTACTTATCATACCCTTTTAGTACCATAAAAAAACCTAGCCTTATCACCAAGGCTGACCCTCGTGCAAAATTGCAAGATTCTAGCCGTGTGGGTTACAAGATCATTTTGACTTTTGAACTTTATGCTGGCATAATTTATTGGTGCTTCTTTCCAATTTTCCCATACAGGGCAGTAAAAACGCCATTAGAAAACCTCCGACTGTTTATCTTTTCCACACACAGTTTGTTGATTTTCGTTGGATTACCCAACCAGCATACAAAGAAAGTTTACGTAACACATAAAAATATTAACCCTATTCAGATGTTAGATCATTTTTCATAAAAATAAAATAAAACAAAATAAAAAAAAAACTTCAACCAAAATCAACAGGTAATCAAAAGCAAAAATGATCATTTGTTACGTCGGTAATCGATGATGGAATCAAAAGACATGTGGTGGTAAAAGTTATGACCCCCAAGACAGACAAAGACGAAAAAAGAAAAAGCTAGAAGAAGAAAAAGAAAGGTTGAAGAAAAGGTAAAGAAATTCAAACAATGGTCCCCCAAGAGCTGGCTGGCCCTTTATAACGAAGGTTCGAAATGTTTCTTTGGCTATTTTCAATGACTTTGTTTGCCAATGGCAGTCAATCAAGTTGAAGTTGAAGGAGAGAGAGCGAAATTGATTTGATTGTCTGGATTTTGGGGGGCCCTGTGACAAATGCAAATTATTTTCATTTGATTGCTAAGCATCAAAGCAGGGCAAGACAGCTTGGTTTTGCAGATTTTTACAACATCATTAAGTTTGCCATAATTAAATCAAAATGCCAGTTAAGGTGCTTGGAATGTAGACCAATGAGCCGTTAACTTCCGAGTTTTGCCATAAAAGAGGGGCTTTTTAATGGCATTGTTAAACGAAGTGTTTGGCAGAGGTGGCGATGATGATGATGTTGAGATATTGAAAAAATTTGCATTTCATTTTTTTTTTGTTTTTTGCTCGTTGAGTGTCCAAAAATGTCTCTTCTCGTTGTTGTTGTTGCCGTTGCTATCGTTTCCATTGTAACTGTAAATAATAACAATAATAATGATGATAGCTCCAAGATCGCAAAACAGATGGTCCAGCTTTCTGTCTGGGGGATGTCTTCGATTTCGTTGGCATTCATTTCGAATTTGCATTCATTTCAGTTAACATCCAAACGACGCAAAACCGAGAAAAGTTCCGACTTAATCCGCTGACAAAAGAAAAGACAAAAAAAGATAGAAAATAAAAAAAGAAAATGATTCGAAATCGGAAAAGTCTTTTTAGTTTTCCAAGTGTTTTTGTAATCCTTTATGTGATTGTGGCCACTGTCGGCATTGACCCGACAACAGCCCATCAAAATGTATTCCACCTCGAAACACCTCGCACTAGAATTTTTGCAAATATACCATTCCTTCGGAATATTTTACGTGCCGTACGGCCAAATGCCCACGTTGGCAGGAAATCGGATTATCGCAGTGATTACGATGAAAACTATATAAATTATCATGGCGCCCAATTGTGGAAATTAACATTCGATAAGACGATCAGTGAGAACAAGACAAGGACGGTGCAGGAAATGAAATCGTTTGTGGAGAAATTTGGTGAGTACAGAAACACAGAGAAATTTGAGAAAACAATTGAAAAATATCACCATTGCTGAGATTTTTTTCTCAAAAAAAAAAAAAAAAATTACTTCGTTATGCTCTTTTTTTCTATAGAAAAAATCCTCGGTTTTCCGGAGGATTGAATTTTTTTCTTGGAGAAAAATCCTCTGTAATGCTGCAAAAATCATAAGTTAAGACTGAGGATAGATTTATCTATAGAAAAAAATCCTCAGTAAAGATAGAGGATCGATTTGTTTCTATAGCAAAAATGCTCAGTTAAGACTGAGGATCAGTTAATCCTCAGTTAAATTTTTCCATAGAAAAAATCGATCCCCCATCATATTTTTGCGCGAGGATCAGTTTTGATGCGTAGACATTTGATAGGCCGGGTTTTTGAAAATTCTTACTAAAAGGGTACGAAAAGTACTAAAATGTACTAAAAATTGTATACTTTGTATAGGACAAACAGAATGAGCCAGAATTCTTAAATCACGGATGGAGTGCAGGATAGAAGGCCTTTTGGAAATTCGAATGTTCTAAAATGGTACTAAACTTTTAAAATTGTACCGTTTGGTACGGATAGAGTTAAAAACTTGAAATTTGGTATGAGAATCAAGTTTGAAAATTAAGTTTCATATATGAAAGGGGTTTTGGAAATGTGTACTAAGTGAGCGAACTGTACTAAATGGTATTGAATTTGAAACAATTTGGTTAAGGACGAACGGGTGAAGTTGGCATTTGGAAATTTCGTATTCACGTCCCTGTTGGTGGCAGGTTTGAGATAGAGAGTTGATTTTGGAAGTGTGTACTGCAAGTGCACGAAAAGAACTAAATAGTAATATATTTGGTACAATTTCGTACTGGATGAACAGTTAGTGCTTTGAAATTTAGTATTCGGGTCACTGTTCACGTATAGCCTAGACACAGGTGGCTTCGAAAGTATATACTATAATTGTACGAAAAGTACTGAATTGTACCATTTTTGGTATTGGGTGAAAGGTGTAATGTACACGGTTTAAATTTTCTGATCTAATGCATTAAAAACTTTTAAGCCTTAGAGCCTTTGGTTATGAGGACTACGGGAGCCATTGAGTTGGTAGCTACAGTCGGAATGGGGGGGGTGTTGTCCTACTAAACTCAAAGGCATGTCTGTTTACAGCTATTAATATAGACTCCCTAAATAAAATAAATATTAAACTGAAATATGGAATAATTTAAAATAAATTAACATAATTTAATCAAAACCCCATAACAAAAATTAAAATTGAAATAGATCGTTAAAAGTAGTTGTCTTAATCTGTCACCTATATAGAATTTAAAGTTCTCCGATGTTATGAGAATTGGCCTCTAAACCCTCGCCAACCATTGTCCAAAAATGGCAATGTTTTCTTTGGACCCCAAATTTAAAAAACCTTCAAACTATATAGCCAGCCCTATTAAGATAACGTCTTCTTAGAAATTTAGAAATTCATATTGAATTCATATTGAATTTATTCACATTATATACAAAGATGATTAAACTTAAACGTATTTAAAATATACAGAATAATACTAAACGCATAAAGTTACAATATCATAATTTCTTTTCTGCCCCTGAATGGGATAATTCATGTTGTATAAATAAGAAATACAATTTTCACCACAAGGGAGAATTTGAATAAATGTAAGAGAATTGAACTTCGAGAAATTAATATCAGAGTGTACTCTCAACAAACAAAGAGAATACATTAAATTAGATCTCACTTAATTATTCAACTTTACCACAAACAATACAACAAATTTATCAATGATGTTCTCAATCACTTACCACGCTCTCCTGTATTGTTGAAGGCCTTCTCCAATAGCTGGATGCTGGTTCATTTTGATCTGTGAAATTAGTGTGTTTGTTGTTGGTGGTAATGATGTTATCTCATGCGATAAAAATAAAAAATATGATGATAATGAATATAGGTACTAAATATTTTGCAGCATGATATACACTCAAAGACTAAATTGTGTTAATTTAAAAAGAAAAATTATTTTTACCATAGTAATAGATTTTGATATGAAAAAAAAACAATTTATATCTTTGAATACATGTCATGTGCGTATATATAGATAGATTGAGGGAATTATCAATTATACTTATTTTATATCATTTGGGTAAATTGTAATTATATTTTTAAATAAATCCGGTTATTGTTGATATGAATCTATGTAGATCCCATGATTTCCAAAAATGTGGTTATGGCGTATATTCTGTATTGCTGGTCGATCATTCGTTTTGGACGACTGCATGTGTTGAAGCAGGTGAATTCTGACCACAAAGAGGGATGTCAGGATGTAAAACAAAATATCCTCAGAATTCCACTATCAGATTGGGAATAGTTTCAGACACCCAAAACGTAATCTTAGGATATAGCGGGTTTTCAGAACTTCACAAGAACTTCGAGTCAGCAAGAAATCGTAATAGCGTTATATGTCTTGTTTGGTTACGTTCAGGCAATATATATATTTATTGGTTACTGTCAGAGTTAACCTCGATGGGCTTATTTACAGAAAGGTTTCTTGTTCCAACAGATGTTATGTTATGTGTCGATGGTCTTAGTTAAAGGCAGGGTTTTTGTTCACAACATCCACGATGAAGCTATATTTGATCTTCAGCAGACGTCTGCCAGTCGGGTTACGGAATTGGAATAATTGTGCACGAGAGGTTTGTTGATGTTTATGGCACGCCAATAACCCTGTGGCCAATATGGTCCGTTTATAGCCTGGTTATTTGTATCGTCAGAAATCACCAATTTGGAGTTATTTAGGGTTTCCACAATATATTTTAAAAAAAGGGAGGATACTGATTCCAGTGGCCAGGTCACGTTGTGTTGTCGCAGAGCCAATTAATATTTTTTTCAAAAATCACGTAGGAGCAACGCGAAATATATTTTTTGAAGAAAATTTTATCACTTTAAAGTTGATTTAACAACGGGATGCAAATGATAAATGTCGATTTTTTATAAGGATTTTTCGTCTGCTCACGTTCAAGATTTTAATAGAAAAGAAAGATTATTTTACTTGAAAGGCTTAAGCTATTAAGTTAGCAGCAGAAAAATGTCAACAAAGAGAAGAATAAAGTTTTGTAGTTATCGTTTTTGGTAATGTTGCCAGCTTCGAATAAGGTTTAATCGATGTATATACCACATTTAAAAGAAACAAAATGTATTATTTTGATGAAAATAAAGCTGTAGATTACGAATAACCACATCAGAAAATTGTTTTGAGTGTATTTCTAGTTAATAGAAGTGAATTAAATTGTGATCGGTAGTGTAATTTTATTACTAGTGGAGACTCAAACCATTACTATACTACTGAGGTGAGTATAGTAAGTGGGATATCAATGAAGAGAAAAATGAAATTTATGAATGAAATGTCAATGCGAATCAAAACAAAAACTATATTGATAGAAGAATAGACTGACATAGAGAAAATACGCATTTGTGGAATTTGGGCGTGAAATGTCTCTCAAAATTTTTATGAATTAACTGAATAGTAATGTGAAATAAAGTGGACAATCGAGTATTTAGTTTGGTTTCAGACACCAAAGAATGGAAGGTGTACGGAATGTCGGATAAAACTTAGAAGCAAAGCTCTGGCCGATTGTGGAGTTATCCTAAATCCGAGTGTGTGAAAGACGTGTATAAGAAATAAGAAGAATAAGATTATCAAAACAAAAAAGATTTATATTGGGTAAAATTCAATTGTGAAATATATTATTTTAAATGGCTAACTGAGACTGATTTTGTCCAAATAAAAATGTGAGGATTTAAATTAAATATTTAATTTTAAGTGCCTTTTAATAATGCTAGCATTTCCAATCCAGATTTGGTATCTTATTTTAATAATTTTATTTTCAGTAAAAAAATTATATTGCCCACTTTGTAAGGGGATTGTGGATAATAGATGTAATAAAAATTATTTAATAATCTTTTGGCTGTTTGTATAAAACGTCCCTTACAAAGGATATAGAAAAAATTCTGAATTTTGTTATCTTAGGTTGAGATTTCGAAGTGGTTTTGGAAATGCATCCTATATTTGTACGAAAAGTACTAAATGGTACTGAATTTGGTTTTGTGTGAAAAGATAAGGTTGGAATGCTCAAAATTTATAGTGAGGGCCCTGTTGGTATCTGAAATTGAGTTATGGATTGGTTTCAGAATTGAACGAAAAGTTCTGAATGGTACCATATTTGGTATTGAATAAAGGAATTTAACTGAAAACGTGAAATTTTTATGCAGGGTGAGATGAAAAAACAGAAACCAACTGTCATTTCTAAGCCATTCGTCCGACAGCTGTTAAAATTATTCCAGTGACAGCTCATTATATTGTTAACAAGCGTACAAAAGCATTTTGGTGAGATTTTTCCAGAAAAAAAGTTATTCGTGATGGAATTCAAGCGTGATAGTGTGATTTCTTTATATTTGGCTGGAAAACTACAAGTCGCTATCGTTATAGCATTCCAGCATTTAAATGTGAATAAATCTTTTGTGTCTCGTACCATCGCTCGTTACCGTGATGCTGGGAGCGTAGCCCTATGTCAAAGAAGTGGACGGAAGAAAACAGCAACATCAGCAGAAATGATTCGAAAAGTAAAGAAGCGACTTGATCGAAACCCGTGTCGCAGTGGCCGAAAATGGCTCGTGAGCTGAACATATCGCAATATTCCATTCGGCAAATATTGAAAAATGAGATCGAGGTAAAGCCATTGAAATTCAAAAAATAACTTACACCGCATCAGAAAGAAAATAGATTCAAAAGAGCTGAAGAGTTGCTTCGATAAGCCGAAAGCGGTGAACTGCCGAATTTGGTTTTCTCCGATGAGAAAAACATTCGTTGCCCAGCAGTTTGTAAACAAACAAAATGATCCTTTTTACTTGCCAAAGAGGTCAGCTGAAAATATGCCCCTTCGATTGGCCACCAGAACTCAAGCGCCGGCCATGGTGAAGGTGTGGTCTGCCATAACAACCGATGGTCGCTCTTTGCTCATAATAATCGACCGTGGCATCAGATTAAATGCCGAATATTATCGTGAAAATATTCTGGAGTATGTATTAAAGCCTTGGGCACGCAAACATTTTGGCAGCGGACCTTGAACATTCCAAAAGGACTCAGCACCATCGCACTCAGCTCGCGCCACCCAAGAATGGTTACAAAATGAGGTTCCTCGCTTCATTTCCAGCGCACATTGGCCACCAAAACCTCCGGAAACCAATAGGTTGGACTATTGTGTCTGGAGTATTTTGGAAAGCAAGGTTGGCACTAAAAAAATCCAAAGTGTCGATCACCTCAAACAAGCGCCTTGCTGGGAAGTATTCCAGGAAAGCAAGGCTGGCACTAAAAAATACCAAAGTGTCGATCACCTCAAGCAAGCGCTTCGCCGAGAATGGGCCAAAATACTGCAGAGCAACGTGTAGCGGTTTTATTGGCCGTTTGAAGGCCATAATTCGTGCGAAAGGTGATCAATTCGAACAAATCTAAATTTATTCTAAAATTTTATGCTATTTCCCACATTTTTTGCTTTCATTCAAAACAATTTAAAAAAAAATTAAATTATGGTGTTTTACTTTGTTGCACTTTTTATATATCACACTGTAGAACTGAAATTTCGGAATTTGATATTGTGGTTAAATAGTTTTGGACAGAAAAATGAGATGTGGGGCCATTGTGCAAAATTTGCTCCAATTCCAAAATCTAAAGATTTAGTATGACGCTTTAACTTTTGATTAAAAAATGTTGTTGAACTGAGTAAACTCTTCATTTTGAGTTCTAAAAAGGCCTAACAGGAACTGTTGAAACAAATGTACATTTTAAGCTGGATTTTCGCTGACGAAGTTGCGGGCTAATTTTTTTCTATAGAAAACAATTCTTGGTATCACAGATAATCTATTTTTTTACTTAAAAAACGCGGTATTCATGAGGAACGATTTTTTTTTTTCAATTATCTGTGCTCGATTTTTATCTATAGAAAATATCCTCAGTATTTCGGAGAATCCATTTTTTTCCAAAAAAAAATCCTCGGTATTCCGAAACTTTGACTTCTTTCTATAGAAAAAATCCTCGCTGTTCCTGAGGGATCGATTTGTGTCTATCCTCAATGTTTCCGAGAATCATTTTTTGTCTATAGCAAATAATCCTCAATGTACAAGAGTATCGATTTTTTATTGAAAAAAATCCGTTGGCTTTTTAGGGGATCGATTTTTTCTATCGTCACTGTTCTATTTTTTTATCGACCAAAATACTTAGTTTTACTGAGTAGCGAGTTTTTCCCTAGGAAAAAAATTTCTAAAGGAAAGCAATCGACCGTTAGCTTCTGACAATTTCTTTCTTTTTCTTCTATATACAAATTATATCCTCAAGAACTGATGATTTTATACAAAAGAATATTGTCTATGGAATTACCCATATGTCTTACAACGTACCCCATAATATTATAGTTTCCTCTTTTTAAAATTCTCTATATCATCCAAAGTTTTTGTTTGGCATTAAAATTTGATTTGTTTGTTTAGAACTGTGTAAAACAAAATTAGCCGGTTTATTAGCCCTCAAGTTATGACCAATATTACGATAAGAAAAAAAAAAACTAAAACAAAAATCAAATCAAATGCTTCAGGTGTTATGTGGCCAAGTCGCTGTTTGTTCTCTAAAATATGAATATTGCTGACTGCGATGTTTAATTTATAACCTCAATGAGATTTTAATCTCAAAAGCTCTGCTGGAACGAAGAAAAAACGTGTTCAAACGCTTCAAGCGAAACTTGACCTAAGCTAAAATTGTGAGAGAAGAAGAAAGTAGAAAAGCCACTCAAAAGTCACATGTCTCACGAAATTTTTGAAAATTCAAATTTTTTTTCTAATCAGGAAATGCTTCCAAATGCGATAAAAAAATGAAATGAAGAACAAGTGACCCAAAAATTAATACAATATGCAGGGTTGAATCATAAATCTAAAATTGGCTGAAATTAGGGCTTAATGACTTGCAGTCGCCGTCGTCGTCGAAGAGGAAGGTGTTCACGCAATTCCATTACGAATTCATGGAAATAGAAAATGAAAAAACAAAAACTTCTAACTCATTTAGAATAGAATCCACTTAACAAGAAGATGTTCAAAAGAAGTAACCCAGAGAAATGACACACACGGTCAGAGAAAGAATGATATGCTGACAATCTCAAGAATTTCGCTTTAATCAGTTTCTTCGTTAACGCCGTGGCCGTAAGAAGTTCATTTCGTAGAATCATTAGTCGGTGGAAAAGAAAAGAGAACACAAACGAAAATCATCGCAGATAAATATTTTTCTAATGACGTCGATTACCATGACGTCGACGACATCGTTGAAATGTGTTTTAATAGTTTTCACCGCCTTTTTGCCCCTGACATGGCCCTATCGCTACTTTACGCTGCACCGTTCCGATCCAAGTGATTTGTTTTTCCTGGTACGACATCCCACGGATATGAACTCGATTTTCTTCAGCGGTGAAGATTTGTACGATAATACCGTGGAAAGTCTCCAGTGGTTGGTGGGACCGACAGACATTCGTCGCTATAATATTTTCTCACCCTCGTCAACGTATCAAATTAATTTACGCTATCGCAATGATCCATCGGTTGTACGCTATTACGGTTATCAGTTGTGGAAAGTGCATGAAACTAATATGAAACATCCGGAATTGAATAAATTTTGGCAAATGTTTGGTTAGTGTTATGAAAAACAAAATAATTTTGAATATAAAATAAAAAGGAGAGTGATCTCCGCAATGAGAAAAATAAAAGAGATTAAAATCCTTTTATGTGGGAGATACCAGACAACCGGCTAAGAAAGAATTACGCGCGGTTAAACTCACACATACAAAGAAAAATTAAATTGTGTAATCTGTAGTAGCACTGTCTGTTTACCTAACATTCTGTAACAATTGTTGTAAATAGTTACTCGAAATAATGTGAGAGAACGACTCAAGAGAGAAATGTTGGCAGCTCTTTTATTTTAATCATGGATGGGCAAAATAATGAAAGAGAAATGCTTAAGAGAATGTTAAAATAGCATTCTTGTGTCGAAATTTTACTAATTTAATATTTTTCAAACACAAACAAACATCGAAATAAGCTCAAAAAAAGTTAAACAGTATCAGTCGGAATTGCCAACAGATGTATACCCAAAGTTCGATTATTGAACTATATATGGACTTCTATTATTATACCCTCAGCCATATGGCTAGAGAAGATACGTCCCAAGTGTGCCTCATCGAAATAACGGGTTTAGACCTTTGGTCTCTTTCGACCAAATCCGGTTCAGGACATTTGGAGTTCCGTCTGTTTGTCTGGCTGGCTGGTGCGCACGATAACTCTGGAAGGGAGTATCTGATTTTATCCAAACTTGGTACTTCGTAATATTATTGTTAAACATAGATCGTGTTCGGAGATGGGCAATATCGGTCCACACCTTCTGGTACATCCCCCACAAAATGTCAATATTTTCAAAGAAAATAGTTTACTGCACAGAAAAAGAGGGCATAATCCGATCTCGCTCCAATTTTGCATATCCAAATATTTGCATCAGTTCTATGTCGGGTGGACAATATCGATCCACTCCATCAAGTACATCCCTCACAAAGGGTCAAAATTTTGAATAATTACCACTTTTATAAAATGTGATGTAAGAATCCGATTTTCTTCAAATTTCACACATTTTTTTTGTGCGCAGAAAAAGAAGCGATAATCCGATTTTGCTCCAACTTTGCAAATCCGACTATTTGCATCATTTTAGGTCAGGTGCGAAAATGTACAATATCGGTCCACTCCATCAAGTACCTCCCCACAAATTATTTTGAATAATTATAACTTTTTTTTTTTAAAGTAGAATCCGATCCGATGAAGTAAGAATCCGATTGTCTTAAAATTTCACACATCCTAATATTTTTATAAACCCAAGATCTGGTATCGGTCCACTCCTTCTGGTACTTCCCCCACAAGAGATCGAAATTTAGAATATCCATTAAGTTCATAAAACGCAAAATAAACATCCGATCCCACATCTGAACATTTCTATCAACACATAATCTGTTAAAGAAACTATAGAGATCGGACCATTCCTCCTGGTACCTCCTCCACAAAGGGTCAAAGTTTTAAATAACCAAAACGTTTATAAGATCCGAAATAATCATCAGGTTCTCTTTATATTCCACACATACCATTATTTCCACTAATAAAAGATCTGTTGTGAAGATGGGATATATCGGTCCACTCCTTCTGCTACCTCACCCACAAAGGCGCAAAATCTTGAATCAACTTTTGAAAGCTCATAAAAAACGAAATTAACATATGGTTCCATTCAAGACTTGGTACATCTGAATATGGTATATACGATTTCGCATAAAGTTTGATAAAAATGTTGGATTTTCTTGTAATTTTGCCCTTACCAATATTTTTATGTGTATTAAGTGAGGTATGAAAATGGAATACTTCGGTCGACTTATCTGATACCTCACGCACATGTTAAAATTTTCTAACAATTATCATATTATCATGTAAAGTGAAGGTTAGGTGAAGTTACCAATATAGTCCAAACCTGGCACGTCGCAATATTTATATCATGGTTATTTAGGTCCTATACGAAATTGCCAATATTGGCCCCTTCCTTCGGAACTTAGGGGGTTAAACATTTGAATAATCATAACAGAAGTTAAAATAATTTTAAATAATCGTACATTGGCTGAGGGTATACATATGTCGGCAAAACCGACAGATTCTTTTTAACTTGTTTTTTTTTTTTTTTTTTGAAAATTTCGACAATTTTTAAGAAGGTACCAGAAGGAGTACACCGATATTGCCCATCTCTGAACTCGGTCTAAGTTTTATAATAATATTCCGATACACCAAGCTTGGACCAAATCGGATACTCCCTTCGAGAGTTATCGTGTGCACCAGCTAGCCAGACACACTGACGGACGGACGGACATCGGTAGATCGATTCCAAATGTCCTGAAACAGATTTGGTCCAAAGTGACCTACGGTCTAAAACCATTATTTCCATGAGGCACGTTTTGTCCGTATCAAATGATATATACCCTTTGTAGCCATATGGCTGAGGTGATATGCATATCAACTTTCAGCTCTGTTCCATCACCCAATATCAAAAGTAGAACTTTTCGTACAATTATATTACATATTTCCAAAATAAACTCCATGACTCATTTTCAGATACTAACAGAGACCTCAATAACAAATTTGAGGATCCCCGCCCCATTCCCTTCGCCCGATACCCGATTAAGTACCATTTAGTACTTTTCGTACAAAAATAGGACGCATTTCTAAACCCACCTCCATATCTTAACCTTAGACACCGAAAGTGATATCAATAGCAAATTTAAGGTTTTCTGCTCTCTTCCTCAACCTCAAAACCAAATGTAGAACAATTTAGTAAATTTCGTACAAATATGGGACGCATTTCCAAACGCACCTCCACACCTCAATTTCAGACACCATCACGCAATTCCAAGCCCACTTCCAAATCTCAACATCAAATATCAACAGTGACCTTAATATCAAATTTTAGGATTTCAATAATTTAATTTCCCTCATTACAAAATTTGGTACAGTTATAGTACGCATATCTAAAACCAGCTGATTTTCTCAACCACAGACACCAACAGTGACATTCATATCAAATTTCAGAATTTCAGCTCTGTCCCTTAACCCAATTAGTACTATTTAGTACTTTTCGTATAATTATAGAATACATTTCCAAATAACCTCCATATCTCATTTCCAGATACCAACAGAGACCTCAATAATAAATTTAAGGATTCCATGCCTATCCCTTAACCTAATACCATATTTGGTACCATTTAGTACTTTTCGAACAATTTTATTACTCATTTCTAAAAACAGCGCCATATCTTAACCACAGATGCCAACTGTGACATTCATATTAAATTTCATCATCAGATTTACTCCTTCAACTAAGACCAAATCTAGTACCAGTTAGTACTTTTCGTATAAATATAGTACAAAACCACATTCATATCTCATTTCCATATACCAACAGAGACCTCAATAACAGATTTGAGGATTCAAGCCCCATTTTGTATTATTTATTACTTTTCATTCAATTATAGCAGACATGACCAGACTACACACGAACAGCGACCCTAATACCACATTTCATATTTCAAGCACTATCTATTCACTCAATAGCAAATTGTACCAAATTCTGTACTATTCTTGTACTATTTTTCTTGTGCACTTGTACTACACATTTCCAAAACCACCCAAAAGGGACCCCATTACAAAATTTCAGCTTCATCCATTTACTCTAAACCAAACTGTGCCAAATTTAATACCATTTAGTCTGGTTTGCACACTTTGTACACATTTTCAAAATCGCCTTCATATTTTAAACTAAATTTCCATCCTTGATTCTCATCCAAATTTTCAAGTTCTTAGTCCTAGCCGTTGACATAATACCAAGTGGTACCATTTTAGAAGTTTAGTGCCATTTTAAAACTTTTCGTAACCTTAAAGTTCGAATTTCCAAAAAACCCTTTGTTACATCTATCCTGACCTCCATCAGTGACAAATATATGAATTCTAGCTCATTCCGCTTGTCCAATACCAAGTATTCATTTTTAAGCGATTTTCCTTCCTTTCCTTTTTCCTTTTAGTACGAATTTTCAAAAAATTTCCAGTCTTATTACACGCCTACACACCAGGACTGACCCTCGTGGAAAATTTGAAGATTCTAGTTTCAGACGATTCTTCTGATCGTTGATTCTTAGTCAGTTATTTATCTATTCTTTTGTGTATATAAAAATATGTATATCCATACATGACTCTTGTTTCCCGAACTTTTTGAAATTTTGGGAAAGTACGAAAAGGACTGACCCGACTCACTCTAGGTCAAATATAGACTAAAGTATTTAGATGTAAAAAATTTAAAGAAAATCTACATGCATTTCCTACTTTTATGGTTGATATGGGAATGGGTGGTTTTGTGGGTGCTGAGCAACAAAAATTCGACTGAATAGACATTTTGCGAAAGTGACTGTTTCAAAATTTGAAAGGTCCATTTTGTGAGGTCCATTTTTGCAATATTGGTCCACTTCTTCTTAAACCTGTTCAAAAAATTAATATTTTGAATTAAATGTTTATTTTTGTTAAAAAATATGTAGTTTTCCTTGTTGTTCGTATTTATAATCCCTATTTTTTGTTCCAGGCAACGAAGTATGGAACATCAATCAGGATGGTGTCGATATATTGATTGATTACAAGAATACGGCCAAAGCCAAGGAGTACATGACTACAAGTGCTTTCACCTACAACATAATGATTGACGATCTGGAGACGGCCATAGATGAGACTTATGTGGAGGTTAATAATACCAATCCGGAAATGCCATGGCTGGAATTGGAGGGTAAAACAAAAACGCTTAACTTAAAAAGATTAAATTTTAAATTTCAAATATCCCTTCTAGGCAGCACAATGACATGGAATCGTTATCACGACATGATGGAAATCAAACAATTTATGCAATATATATTGGAAACATATCCGGAACAGGCGGAGATCGTACAAATTGGAGTTACCAATAATAAACGTCCCTTGGAAGTGTTGAGATTTTCGAATAATAATCCCGAAAATTGGGCCGTATTCATTGATGCCGGTATGCAGGGACGTGATTGGTTGAGTCCCGCAGCCGTAACCTTGGCCATCTCAAAATTGGCACATCAATGGAAAGTGGGTCCTTCGTATATGCGACACATTGATTGGTATTTCTTGCCAGTGGCCAATCCCGATGGTTATCAACATTCTAGGATCACTGATCGTCTATGGACTAAAAATCGTCATTTTGATAGTAAATCGGGATGCTTTGGTGTGAATTTAGATCGCAATTATGAATATAAATGGGGTGGACCAGGTTCATCGGATAATCCTTGCAAAAATCTCTATCGGGGTCCCAAGAAATTCTCTGAACCGGAAACACGTGCCGTACGCAATTTTATGCTGAATATGAAAGATTTCCTGGGGGCATATGTGTCGTTTAATGGTTATGGCCAGGATATAACCTATCCCTGGGGTGATGCTGATTTTGTGACCGATAATCAGAAACAACTGCACAACGTTGGCCGTAAGGCCATGATGGTAATATTATTTTTTCTTTATGTAAAGAATTAAAATCAAGTAATTTATTTTGATTTCAGAATTTCCGTAAATTGAATGAAGCCGAATATCGTGTGGGTTCCAGTTATCGTTTGAAATTGGCCAGGGCTGGTAACTCAGCCGATTGGGTCCAACATCGCATCAATCCCCACTTTGTCTACAATGTCTTCTTGAAGGATCAGGGCCGCTATGGTTTCCTAATGCCACCCTATTATATCGTGGAGTCTGGCGAAGAGGCATACGAATTTATGCGAACAGTGGCCTTGGCTCTGTATAGATTAAATTAAAATAACGTCGTTCTTTCTAAGTGTTTTGTTTAGTATTTAATTTATTATTTTTTAAGTTATTTATTTTTATTCATATTTTATGTAAATAAATTTAATATTTTATTTTGTATAGGAAAATAATTGTTAAGAGTCATAGCGGAAAAAATATGAGAGCGAAGGTAGCAAAGGGAGTAGAGAAAATTTTCTATGTATATAACCACGAGGAAAAAGAAGATGAGAAAGGTGTCTCTATAGACTAGCATAGGGTTTTCCATAGACCGTCAAATTGGGTAACTATAGACCACCATAGGAGATATCCATAGACTAAAAAAGGGGATAGACAATCAAAAGGGTGTATACTTGGACTTGATATGGGGACTCTGGTCTCACCCATAAAATGTAGGTATCTATAGACTAGCAAAAGGATGGTTTATATGAACAACGAAGACATATATATAGACCAGAGAAAGGCGGTACCTGGTCATTGACCAGAAAAAAGGGGTCGAGTTGGGAGGACGTCTTTTTATACGAATTATGAAGTGAGTCTTCATAGCCAACTTGTAGAGAGTGTCTTTAGAGACGAGTTTGGAAAAGAATTTTTAAAGACGAATTGAGATTTTAGGGTGAGTTGAGAAGGTAGTCTTTATAAGCGAGTTGTGGAGACTTTATATGTGAGTTGGGGAAGAGTTTTTATAGGCGAGTTGTAAAGAAAGTACTCTTTTTTGACGAATTTGAAACTAATCTTCGTAGACGAGTTAAAAAAACCAAATAGTTTTTTTTAGGAGATATGCGAAGAGACTATTCATAGACGAGTTGAAAATGGAGTCTTTTTGGGGGAGGTGGATCCATTATAAGCGAGCTTGCAGAGGTCGGTCTTTCATAGGTGATTTGGGAAAGAAGTTTTATAGCCGAGTTAAGAAAGGGATCTTTATAGATGAGCTGGAGTCTAAGGGGTAAATAATTCATGAAAAGCATCAGATTAGCATTTTTGCTAGTAGTCTATAATATTGTTCTCCTGCAAAAGCCAAGTCTTAAAAATTCAATTGAAAATTTAAAAAAAAATAAAAATTTTTTCGGAAAAAAAATTCAAAATATTAAAAAAATTAATTGGCGAAAAAAATTAAAAAATTAAAAAAAAATTCGGAAAAAAATTAATGATTCCGAAAAATGCCAAGGATATCAAAATAATTTAAAAAAAATCAAAAATAAAACTTAAAAAAACACACAACACAATTTGCCAGGATTTTTTACGATATCTATAAAAGACTAGCAAGTGCCCGCTACTTCCTCAGCGAATAGACTACCTTACATTTTTTGATTGCTTCCAACAGTTCGTATTAGGCCTTTTTATACCCTCAGTCATATGGCTTAATACGGTAAAAACGTGCCTAGTCGAAATAACAGTTTTAGACCCTAGCTCTCTTTGGACCAAATCCGATCTAGCAATGTCCGTCTGGCTGGATGGTGCGCACGATTACTTTCGAAGGGAGTATCCGATTTGGTCCAAATATTGTAATATTTTTGGTCAAACTAAGATCGAGTTCGGAGATGGGAAACGTTATTCCACTCCTTTTGGTGTCCCCCCACAAAAAGTCGAAATTTTCAAAAAAAAATTATTTTTTGCACAAAAAGAGAAAGGATAATTCTATTTCGCTCCAACTTTGTAAATCCTAATATTTGCGTCAGTGCTAGGAGGTCTGGTGCGAAAATAGACAATATGGGTCCACTCCTTCTGGTACCTCCCCCCACAAAGGGCAGGTGTGAAAATTGGCAATATCGGTCCCCCCATCAAGTACCTCCCCCACAAATGGTCAAATGGTACAACTCTCATAGAATGTAATGTAAGAGTCCAATTGTCCTCAAATTTCACACATCCCAATATGTATATTAACCCAAGGTCTGGTGTTAAGATGGAATAATAAAAAAAATAATAATATAATAAAAAAAAACTAAAAAAGATATTTTTTTTTCTGCACAGAAAGAGGAGCAATAATCCGATTTGATCAGGTAAAAAAATGGATAATATCTCCCACAAATGGTTAAAATTTTGAATAATTATAAGTCTTATAAAATGTGATGTATCCGATTGTCTTAAAATTTCACAAATACCAATATTTTTATAAACCCATGATCTGATGTTAAGATGGAATATATATTGGTCCACTCCTTCTGCTACCTCCCTCACAAAAGGTCGAAATTTTGAATATCCATTAAGCTCATAAAACGCGAAATTAACATCGGATTCCATTTTGACTTGACACACCTGAATATTTGTATCAACACAGGATATGCTAAAAAAAACGGCAGAAATTAGGCCATTCTGATACCTAACTCACAAAAGGTCACAATTTTCCGCACTTTTAACTGTCATAACTTGAGAAATAAGTCAGCGATTCTTTACGACTTGCTATATCTAAATATATCTCTCTTTGCCAGAAACCTGAGAAGAATGTGAAATTTATTATTTCGATTTAATTTGGATATAAATGTTCGATGTTCTTGTAATTTTGCCTATACCAATATTCTTATCTGTATTAGGTGAGCCATGAAAAGGGATCGCTGGACTATATCTGGCACCACGCACATTTTAAAAAAATTATCACATATCGCAAAAAAGGAAAAAAAGTAACCAATATAGACTAAATCTGCGACGTCGCAAGATTTATATCGTATTTATTTATGTCCGATTCAAAACGGACAATATTAGCCCATTCTTTCGGAACATACTCCAAAGAAGGTCAACAATTTGAATAATCAAAGCAGAAGTCGAAATATATTGAACCAATCGAACATCGGCCGAGGTAATACATTTATATACTTTTATACTTTTTAACTTATTTTTAGTATATTTTTTATTAATTTATTATTTTTCACGGAAACTCAACCTTATGACATGCCCACGCATCAAGACTGGCCCTCATGCCAAATTTCAAAATTATAGCTTCAGCCGTTTCATTTAGGCGTTTATTCAAGATCAATATGTCAGTTATTACGTCATTTTGTATATACAGGTAATATAATAATAAAACCAGTAAAGAAAGTCTTAAAGTCGGGCGGGACCGACTTGATGATACCCTACACCACTTTGCTAATTTAGCAGGGCTCCGCATAACAATTAAAAGTTTTAATGGGAGAATTCAATCACACACGCTATGATTATAATTATAATTTAAAGTTCAAAGGACTAAATATGCCGAAGCATTGGTAGTTTTTAAATTCGGACTTGTATTGCCCATTTGGTGCATAATTAATTTTAAATCGGATAAAGATATATATGGGAGCTACATCAAAAATTGATAAAATTTGGCAAAGATATTTCTGAGCTGTATTTGTTACGGAGTGCATATTACGGCTGTAGGTAACAAATATAACAAATCGGATGAACAGTATATATGGGAGCTATAGCTATATCTGAACCGATCTTCACTAAATTTGACATACTAGCTTCTAGACTCAATTCGGTCGTAAGTGCCAAATTCCATCACATTTGGACAAATATTAGACGTTTGGTGCGCAATAAAATGTAAATCGGACGAAGTTAGATATGGGATCTACATCCAAATCTGAACCGATCTTGATAATATTTTGCAGATGTATTTCTGAGCTGTATTTGATATATTTCCCCAAATATTGTTGTTACAGAGTGTATTTACAGAGGCTGCGGAGGACAAAAATAACAAATCGGATGAACAATATATATGGGAGCTATAGCTATATCTGAACCGATTTCGATTATCTCCAATTTCAATAGAGTTCGTCCTTGGGCCAAACAAATGATTTGTGCAAAATTTCATCTGGATAGGGCAATAAATGCGAACTGTACTTTGTTTACAAAAATACACGGACAGACGGACGGACGTGCATAAATCGACTCAGAATGTGATTCTATACAGATCATCAAAAGGAACTATGGGTCTATCTCGTTTCCTTTTGCCTATTTCAAACAAATGCACAAAGACATAATACCACCTTGTAGTGTAGGGTATAATTAAACCCCTTAAATATCAAACGGCGGTAGACGCACTGAAATTAAGTAGTGCCAGCTTTTAATGAAATGTTACGAAGCTCTTATAAGCTGTATTTAAATAATCAACAAATAAATTCTAACATCAATTGATATAACTCATGTATTTTTCTCTAATGGGTTAATATTCGTTATGACTGCGAAAATAATTACAAAATTAAAGCATACTTGTAGGCTGTTGTAACAAAAAACAAATATGTACTGTACAAACAATGCCACACATTCTCTGCAAACCAAAAATTCAGCATATTGGAAAAGATTAAATGGAATTCCGAAATGATTGAAAATGAAATTGAAATTGAAAGCCAACAAAAATGTGCAGACAACTGCATGTTCGTCATTTAGGCACAATCTCATCATGGGCAGAACTGAAAGAAAATCACAAAATCGAACTTAGTAGATGAGGGAGAGCCATTCAAGCAAAGAAACAAAACCAATTGTTTGTGAGGATAATGGTCTTCCTCTCCATGTCGTTAGTACTTTCTAGCCTTTCTCGCCAAGTTATGGTGGAGGAAGGGCAGAGGACAAACTCTTTATTGTCGGAGAAATGGCCATTCCACAGAAAAAAAGTGAAGCAAAAGAAGAAAAAAACCAAACGATAAGAAATGTTTTTTGGCCTGGCCTTTCATGGCCGGTGAATGAATGAATGGTTGGTTCGTTGTCGGTGGTTGTGGTTCAATGGTCCATTAGCTGGCTGGAAGCTGTATTAAATTTGTAGTAACAATAACTAACAAAAACAACCAACGAAAAACACAAAAACAAATGAGCTCTAGTTTACAAACAAAAGCCAGATTTTTTTTAGTGGAGCTTGGCTCGTTTACTTTCATTCGCCAGCAATGTTGGCTAGTTGGCTACTGCTGATGATGGGCGGTTTGAACCAAAAAAAACTGAGATTTAATTAAACAATTTATTGCATTATCGATATTGTTTACAAATAAATGCGATTATTTGCCCAAAAAAAGAAAAAAGACGAAGTTGCACACCATTGTTGTTGTCGAACA